GAAAATATTCTTCGATGTTTTTCTATCTATCTTCAAATATTTGCTCGTATAACAACATTAGAAATAGTCAATCAAATGCATGAACATACCAATCTAATAAAATATCCTCTATTATTACTATTACGACATCATTATCATCATCTTAAGCAATCATGGTCATTTCTTCTATCATTACATCTAATTGATGCAAACCTAATAACCAAAGGTCTCTCTATATTTCTTCGACAAGCTAATTAAAAGCAAGAAAAGAAATAACACATAATTACATTATTATTTTTTTATTTATATCTCATTATCTTTTATAAAATAATAATAACAAAAAAAAAACAAGGCACTCTTTTATTTTTGTAGTTAAACTAAAATGCAATGATATTTTCGTTTCTATTTGCATATATGAATTTCAACAAGTTTTTGACATGTTTCACATTGAACAGAACAACACCATATAAATTTACAATTGCACTTTTCTTGAACATATTTTCGTATTGTATTATAACCTCGTCCACAACACATTGTTGCACAACCATCAGGACCATGACTTGTTCGATTACATTTACGATCTTTTGTACCAAATGATCCAATACGTCGATTTAATTCACAAAAATTTGAATCTTCAAAATAGATTAAATCATCTTTGGTTGGTCCAGCAAAACGACGATCACGTGAACGTAATTGTCCTAAACGACGTTGATATCGTACTTCAACAGCACTATCATATTTTTCTTTTAAAAATGCACCAATTTCACGAAATGTTGGTAATTGTTGATAACATGTTCGAAGACTGCAAGAACCACTAACTCCATGACATTTACAAACTACACGCGTTAATCGATAAACCGCCTTAAAAATAAAAAATATTATTCGTTTGTTTTTTTTTTCTAAATATAGATATATTTACTCTTCGTCCAACTTCATTATTATGTATATTCATTTGACGTCGTATTCTACCACGTCTTAATGGTTTGCGTTTTTTTCGTCCAATTGTTGTTTGATTTGAATTAATAAATGAAATAGGAGAGTTGATTACATTTGGATTAATTTCTTTTTCAGGTGTATCAACAAAATCTCGGCCAAATCGATAACCATAATCTACATTATCACCACATCTATTTCCCGAAAGAAAAAATAAATTATTGGTTTTTTTTATAAAATTCAATTTATTTACCCTCCCCATGTCCAATCTCGTGGTAGATTTTTAGGTCTTGCCGCTCGACTACATGTACATGATTTTAGTAAACCTTGTTTACAAGCTCGACTAACAGCGTACGTCACACCTGCTGAAAGCATTGCATGAGTAAAAGCTGTTTCTCGATTAGCTATAGATCAAGAAGAAAAGATAATGAATTTTTTTTATCAAATAAAAAAATTTACCATGATAAAGAACAGGTCCAAAAACACTTCCATCTCTTACTGTAGAACAATTCCAATGACGATCTTGAAATTGATGTTGACATTCATCAATACCTTTACTTGTACCTTGAATCACAACAGGCATATGATCAGCATGTAATAAACATATTTGTTTTTGACCAATAGTTAAACTTTTCAATGTTGTTTCACAATAGGATGATGGATCATCATCTATTTCATATTGATGATCAGCATTCAACGATGTATATGATGATAACATATTATTAGTTTCATGTTCAAGTCCAATATTCCTAATTATGAAAAAAAGAATTATTTTTTTTTTTACAAAATTTTCTTCTTACCACCAAAGATCAGGTTTTATCATACCATCGATTGATTGACATAAATACAAAAATATTATAAGTTTCATCATTTTCATTGGAGAACTTTAGAATGACATATTATTCTAGAAATAAAAATAAGTGATAGAAACAAGCTGTTCTGTCTAATCCGATATTCATCGATCATTCAGAGACAGGTGCCGATCGTCAACTAAATATTTAGCGGTAAGATATAACAAACAAATGTATATTAAGACAAGGTCAACACTCAATACGAACCGTGTCGATAGACAAGCAATCGGTCACTTTTGATTTTTCTTTCTACTGAAACAAACCATGTTAGAAAGGATTATGTAAGTTTATATACATATACATATATATATTGTTTTCATTGATATGATGATAGATTTATTCTTTTTATGTATTAAACAGTTACACATGGTCAATCAACAATAGACAAACAAGTGACAATCTTAACATTTTTCTAAAGTATCTTCTCATGATATATACATCTAATATAGAAAAAAAACTGTTAATGACATTGCTACAATCATATACATTGTCAAAAAATAACATTTATATTGAGAAGAATAATGTGTTACACTCATCAACTTTATTCGAATGTATATATAACTCACATTCACATACGTGTCTTTCACTTATTTGTCTTCTTATATATATATATATACTGTATAAAAACAAATATTCATGCTCAAACTATAAAACAATTTCATAAAATATATATAATATTAAAAAGAATCGTTTGATCATAATAGTATGGTTTCATTTCAAGGAAAAAATAATAAATAAACTTAAAGTAGTTCATACTCATTTGCATATCAATCAATGAATATTATAAAGAAGAAAAAAAAATGAAGTTTCATATATCCTATCGATTCAATGAATTAAAAATGACTTTCAAATCATTGTCAATTATTATCATCTATGCAGTTCATTGCACACATCTACATACCTTACAAATGAATAAAAGAAGATTATTCTCACTTCTCTCAATTCGTTATAATACCGACAATTGTTGACTTGTTCATTCACAGTTTTGATTTAGATCAGAGAGAAGAAGAAGAAGAAGAAGAGAAAAAGGAAACAAATATACAATTCACAGTTTTTTGTTTTTTGATAAAATAAAAAAAACAAAATTTCTATGATGATGATATTCTCCCATCGGCACACATATCTCACCAGTCATAAAACCAGAAAATGTACATTTAAGTATTAAATTTCTATATCCAATCACAATGACGTGTTAATCAAAGGCAAACACATATATGCTTATAATTCTCTACTATCGTGTTAATTTTAACTTGAGCTTAGATATATCGATATGTGTATATCTAAGGATATTATTTTTTTTTTGCATGACTTGATAAGACTAAAGTACAGAAAATGATGATGATGATGATGAAGAAAAAAAAATTTCTGGTATTACATCATTAATCCTACTGTTCGATTAAATCGAAGGGTAAACGTCAATACTTAATCTTCTTTTTAATTGATTCATTTCAATGATTGAATAAATGAATATGAAAAAAAAGTGAACTTACCACTAAGAAGAGTTTTTTTTTCTGTTTGATCGATAATGATTGAAAAGAAGTATGCAAGAACTCTATTACTTGATACAAAATATGAGTGCTAGAATAACAGTCAGATCACCTCTGCGAATTACGATGACGGAGATGTTTGTTCAACTCGATATATGTATATATTGATATATATATATATGTGTGTGTGCGTATATGTGTGTCGATTTCCTTCTCTTTTCTCACTCTCTCTTCTTCTCTTTCTCTCTCTCCGTCTTTCTTTCTTTCTCGTACTCTAATCTATTTTATACATATGTGAGACGTAACATACATATTTGTGTGAGAATAAAAAAAAAGCTATCCGTTGAATCGGATATTTCGACATGTTATTTTATTTCCGGCTTTTCCTATTATAATTTTTATAATAAAGACAAATTTAAAATATGTAGGATTAAATGAAACAATCAATCAAATCACAAATAATTTCTTTTTTTTTCATCGTATAATTTTTGAAAAAGAATTATTCTTTTATCTAAACTTCGATCTCTTCTTTCTCATCACTGTCAATCGATCTCTGCTACTGTAATCCTTAATTGACGTGCATGGTCGACAATAATTATCTTTGCTTCTATTCTTTTGTTTATTATTCTTTTCTGGTGATGTTAGGAGAATATTAGTGAGTGTTATGTTACTAGAAAAGAGAACGAAAGCAATGTGTTTGATATAGAGATACTTCAACGAAGTTAGTTGTTCATTAGCATAGAAAGATTGATTCCCTAAAGGTCAATTATGATCTATCTTCTCCTCCTTTTCTTTTCTCTTTTTTTACTTATCAATAATGATGATGATGACAATTAGATAATACATTTCGATATAGAACTTCGGTCTTTGTTTTTTTTCTTGGATAATAAATTGTCTGCTTGTCTGCCTATCACATTCAGGTAAAAAACAGTTAGTATGAAAAGGTCGTAGACACCGTATTTTGAATGTCAACAACGACTGAATGCTTTACTCCAGTGATGATAATCGGCTATGAAGCATATATATGCAGACTAACGATCGATCAAGATGCGTTGGTTATTCTAATTTCTTTTGTTTCGTTCTGTTCATTAGCACACTACATTTAGATATATATATCGAACCTATTTGATTCATATAGACAAACAGTATATATATATATTGATAGTAAAAGTCTGCTGATCTTTACTTATCATCATGTCTGCTTTAACTCCATTGTTGATGACGAAACACCACATAGAAAAAAAAAAACAGAAAACATGTAGATTCATTATTGCACAAAAATATACTCAAAAAGGCAAATAGATACAATAAATAATATGACTAGAAGGTAGTTGACTAGAATGCAATAGACAAGAGAAACAAATTTGTCAAAGAAATTCACTGAACAATGAATGACTGTGTTAAAACCAACATATTTACAAAAAACAAAAAACTTCATTTTGTGAGATTAACAAATATTTACAAATAGTGTACGAAAAACAACAGAAAATATTAGATAATAAGCTTGATTATTATTAGGCAAAACTAGTTTCATCATCGGATGGCGTTATTGGACATCGTTCAACGATGGCACGAGTAGTTGACAATGATGTAGATTCATTAAACCAAGTATGTTCATATTGTTGATTGTCATTTTGTGTTGCAAATGGTCGATGGTTATCGAAACTAAATAGATTAGATATATGATTATACATTAGATTTTTGATTAAATATTACCTTTCGTTTGGTCCACAAGGTCGAATATCGATATCGATATTTGCTCGTTTTCGTTGTAATGGAGTATTGACTGTGTTTATCAGAGAACTAGCTGTTGCAGAAGCAGCTGCAGCAACTGTTCTTACTTCATTGGATCCTAATAATACGATTGCATCTTTATTTCTTTTATTACTTAATTTTCTTTTAAGTTCTGTTTGTTGTTGATGAAATGATGTTTCAATACATTTTAAATCGAAATCTTCATATTCTTTTAATTCATTTGGTTTTTGTAAATTTTCTTTTAATTCATTGTATTTATTATCGAAATCCATAATTTTTGAATTTCCATATGAATAATCTTTTTCTATAGATGGTTGTAAATTCATCATGATAGAATTGAGTGTTGCAGTATTATCTTCAATAAATAAATCTAAACTTGGCATAGCTGCTGCTACAGCTGCTACATCAGTTGATTGAAATTCATCATCTTGAGATTCAATAGAAGCTAAAAAAGAAACAAGATAAAAATTTCTTTTACATATTATAAGAAAACAAACTTGTTGCTTCGTTTATTAATTCTTGTTCATTTTTTGTTTGTAAAGATAATTCAATTGTTTGTTGTAAATCATTGAAATAATTTGTTTTATCATTTGGATTTAAAGTTGCACTTATAGTACTAGTACGATGATTTGGTCGATAAATATTTTGTTCATTTTCACGTACTGCTTGTAAACGACTCATTTCAATCGCTCGAAGTAAATTCATAACATCATCAGATGGTACAACAACAGTTGGTGATATTGTATCATCTGTATTGTGTTGTTCAAGTGTTGAATCATTTGTTGATATACTAGCTGTCATAGAACTACTATTATTGTTAGGTACTGGATCTGATAATGGTACTAAACTTTGTTCCATTTCTTGTTCTTCTAGCAAAGAAGAAAAGTTGTTTTTTTATAGAGAATTAATATGCATATATATATACCTCTTTCTAATTGTTCCGTACGATCTAAACGTAAACATTTTAATGAACAATAATCAAATCGAATTGATGTTGTTGGATTGCGTACACGACGTTTGTAACAATTACGACGTTTACAATATGCACCTATGAAAGAGAAAAATAAATTTTAATTCATTTTCTTCTTCTTCTTTACCATCATCACATGATATAAGGCCTGAATCCATTTCCATTTCTAATTCTGGCCATTCATCAAGTAATGTAACTAGATTCGTATGTCGTCCTTTTCTATCTACTACCCAAGGATTCTACAAAACAAAAGACAAAATTTATTTCGCATCAATATGAATTCAATTTAAATTTTACTTTTGGATCAAGTTCTTTTAGAGAATTTGCAATCGCTTTTTTTAATTCATTATCATCACCATCAACATCATCTTTAAGTAAATATTTCCAACGTTGTCTTGAAAATTTTTTCAAACTTGGTGGTGTATCAGGTGGTATAAGACCACGTGCAATTGTTTCAAGAAATTCTAAACGTTTACGTTTAACATTTTTAGTTACATGTACAATACGATGTTTAGGTGTACGTAAATGAGGACGAGCAATTATTTGTGATAATGTTTCTGTACATTCTTCAAATTCAGTTTGAATAAATTCAAATATCATTTTTTTATGACCAGAATTTTCCAAATAATAACCATAAACATATGAACAACGTAGAACACGTCTTGCACGTAATAATTCATTAACAGCATCATCAATAAATTTTGTTTGTGATTCAATATTATTTTCATCATTTTCTGTTGTAATTGGTATTGGTTGAGATGATTTAGCAATAATTATTTCACATTTTTCTTTGGCACTTTTTGATAACGGTTCTTCAAGTTTATAAGAATTTTCATGATTTTTAAAACGTGAATAATAATGAACAAACTTAATAGAAAAGAAAATTAAAGAATTTCAAAAAATCATCTTATAAATTTTTACTTTATTTAATTCAACCATACGTAAATGACGTTGTTCAGCAGCTGTAATTAAATCTTTTTCTTTGGCAACTATTTTATTTACAGTTTCATAACGATTACATTGAAAATAACCACCAGTTGTACTTGAATGTTTTTTCCATGGTTCCAAACATATCCAACAGAAATCATATTTACATTTAACACATTTTATATGATTGCAACCTAAAATTGAATAAATAGAAAATAATGAAAAAGAAACATCTTATTTGAATAAATTCAATTTTTAAAAGATTTTTCCAATCGATTAACTACTCAATATTTCATATAATAACTTTCATGCATATATCAAACAATTGAATGAATTTCAGTATTTAATTATCTAAGAGATCTTAATTAGTATATAACTAACCTTCATTTTTTTGTATAGAAATCGAACAATTTGGACATTTTTTCGAATTAGTTACAAGCCATAAACAATTTGCAGCTATTTCTTCTTCTTCATCTGTTCCTTTCACTGCAGAAAATAAAAAGAAATATAAATTTCAAAAAAAAAAACTTTCTCATTACATTCTTCAGGTTTTATTTCGGCTATTTTATCAAACCAATCTTTCCAATTTTCACATGATGCTGGTTCATGACCTTCTTGTAAACAATCCCAACTAAAATATTCACAAATATATATTTTTTTTCGTTATTCAAATTTCCTTTCATACCAGAAATAATGTCCATTTCGACAATTAACTGATTTAGAGAATTCTCTCATATGTGATGATTGTAAACGATCAAATACTGGCGATTGCACAGCAAGTACACAATTACTATTTGGACACCATTTAAAATTTGGATTTGAATCTACGAATGCTTTTATATCAAATTGTAAATAACGTCTTGCCATATTATTATCAACACATTTTTCAATAATTTCATTCGGTACAAATTTAAAACAATCAACAGCTGGACAAAATATACTATGAACAGAACCTTCAAGAATTTTAAATGTTAAATACCTAAATTGAAATAAGAGAAAAAAAGCATATAATTCTTTTAAAATCTTTCATAAAACTAACTGTTGCCAACAATCTTTACAAAATTGATGATCACATGATATAATAATTCTTTCAACACCACTTTCAAATTCTTGTAAACAAATAGCACACTAGAAAGAGAAAGAATATTTAGAACAACACTTTTCTTTATAGAAAATATGTATTACTTCTTTAGATAAATTAACTGTATCTAATTCATTGATATCGATTGTCGTTAGACCACGTTCATGCAGAAGACTTAATGGAGGATTAACACCGGATATTTCGCAACAACGTATAGGATCTTCAATCCATGATTGAAGAAGACATTCTTTTGACCATTCTAAATATTTTTAATTAATAAAAATTTAAAAGAAATCATATTTACCATAATTTCGAAGTAAAGCTTCGGCTGTAAATAAAGGTATTTGTAACATATCAGCTGTTTCAACTAGTAACAGATCTTTTGCTTCTTGTAAATCTTGAATACGTAAACCGCACGATGCCTAAAATAAAAAACAATCGAATTATTTCGATTGCATTTGATTTCACACTTTGAAAAAAGATCTAGCATCAGATTGAAATAATCTTTCATGCATAAAATTAGTTTTCCGTTTAGTAATTCTCTTTCGCTTTTTTATTTTTCTTTCAAATAATGAAATTATAATGTATTTGCTTCATTAAATGCATCTGGCTAATGTGAATAGATAAAAGATAAAAACATTAAAGGAAGATTGACTTCCTATATTTAGCATTCTTTTTTTCTATTATTGATCAATACAATGAATATTCTATAAGCTTGAAATGATAGCATTGCTGGTTTCCTGTGTAGGTTAAACAGTAAAATACTTACGTCATCAGTTGTTAATGGAGTTTCATCAGTTTCTAAATCTTCTGAACTGTTCTAAAAACAATAAATTTTTTTTAACTTTACATATTAACTAAAATATTAAACTTACACTAAATATCATTCGTGATTCAAGATAAATAGCCAAATCTTTATGTCCATTCTTTTCAGCTAAAAAATAAATCAATGTTAATATACTATTTAAAAAAAAAATATATTGAATAGGATCTTACCAAGTTCACATGGTGTTAATTTTTCACGATTTTCAACATAAAGTGCAGCACCAGCATTTAAAAGATTCTATAAAAGAAGAAGAAAAAGAATAAGAATTCTTTTATTTTATATTTAATGAACTTTTACTTCAACACATGATTTCAATCCATTTCTTGCTGCATAATGCAATGCTGTATTATAATCCTATAATAAAAAAATGTATAAAAATTAATTAATCAATAAGAGAAATTATATTACAGAATCTTTAGCATCAAGATCAAGTGTTTCATTTGTTTGTTTATCTTTCCATTTTAATAATAATAAAAGACATTCATTTCGACGAACTTCATTTCCCGGTTGTAATAAACAATGTAAAGATGTTTGATTTAAACGATTTCGTTTATTAACATTACCATTATGATCACAGAGTAAATGTCTATAAATTAAAATTTAGTTTTTATTAAATTTGTTTTTTTGTATTAAATATAAAGTCGTGCTCTACCTACAAAATACGGGTCTAATTTCAGTTTGTACTTTTATAAATTCTAAGATGCTCTCAGATCATTTTTCATAAATATTATTTTGTCGATTAAAATCAATTGACTTCGAAAACATTATCAAATATTTTCCTGTAATCTTATATTCAATATTCTATGACGATATGAAGCTTAGTCGTCGACTTATTTAATAGATAAATTTTTCAGTTTAAAAAACTAATTTGTTTTTTTTTGGGCTAAATAAGAAGTGTCGTATAGAATGTTTTTTAGTATCGTATTTTTCCTTCAATTGAGTACGGTAGTATTATCACAAAGTGTATTTTCTCCTCCAGAATTTACAGATACTAGTTGTGCTGGTAGTAATCAATGGACAACTTGGTTTGATTCAAATGATCCAAGTGCAGCACTTGGTGAATTTGAAGTAACAACTCATATTCAACAAATATTTCCTTCATTTATGTGTCCAGTACCAATTGCGATTGAAGTAATTATATATATATGATTTTTATCTTTTTTTATTATTAATAATAAATAAATAATTTCTATTCTAGGCTCGTACAATATCTGATGTAAATCCAGCACAAACTGGTGATATATTTCGTATAACACCTAAAGATGGTTTCTTATGTTTAAATCAACAAGTTGATGGTTTTAAACAAAAATTATGTTCTGATTATAAAGTACGTTATTGTTGTCCATTAACAACTGTTGGACAAACAACCACCACAACAACATTTCGAACACCAGTTGCTTCTAGTTATACTTGTGGTCGTCAAACTATAACACCTTTACGTCAACGTGTTGTTGGAGGTGTTGAAGCTATACCAAATTCATGGCCATGGATTGTTTCTTTAAGAGTACGTGATCATTTTTGTGGTGGAACTTTAATTGATACACGACATGTTCTTACAGCTGCACATTGTTTAACTGGTGCAAATCCTGCTAGTCTTCGAGTAGTTGCTGGTTTACATCAACGATTAAATTTGAATACAGGACTTACACAAAATATTGGTGTATCACGTATATTTCTTCACGAACAATATAGTTCAAGAACACATGCTAATGATATTGCTATTATTCGTCTTTGTCAACCAGTTCAATTGAATGCATATGTAAATTTAATTTGTTTACCAGGACCTGATCCACAAGAATTATCATCAGTTACTGTAGCTGGTTGGGGATCAACATATTATGGTAGTCCATTACCTAGTGCACTTCGACAAGTTACAATGCAAGTAACAAATGCTCAAGCTAAAGCATCATATCCAGCTTATTTCAATGTTCAACGACAAATTGGTGCTGGTATACCATATGTTGGTGGAAAAGATAGTTGTCAAGGTGATAGTGGTGGTCCTTTGATGTACAATCCTGCTGGTCAATGGTATCTATCAGGTGTAGTTAGTTTTGGCATGCAATGTGGACATGGAAATTTTCCAGGTGTTTATACACGTACAAGTGCTTATCTTAATTGGATACATAATAAAATAAATTCGATTTAAAAAGAATAAATAAATAAATAAGAAATCATGACAATATATTAATCTATTGTGACTTTTTCTTGTTTTTTTTTTCAATCTCAAGTAAATATCATAAATAAGTATGACTTATGACTGAATATATAATAACACGTATTTGATAAGTCTTTCTAATCATTAAATAATAAATGATGTCATCAACTAATATTCTACGTGCGATAATTATTTCTATTTTCTTGCAATCAATCAATGGATTGATAATTGGCGAATGTAAAGAACCAAATGAATGGAAGACATGGTTAAATGTTCACCGTCCAACTGCCATAGGTGAATTTGAATTAGTTCCACATTATCAAAAAATTTTCGCAGGTCAACCATTTATATGTTCAAAACCAACAGGATTAGAAGTAAAAACGGTTAATGATCTTGAACCATCAACAACAGGCGATACATTTCGTTTTACATTTAATGAAGGTTTTCTTTGTCTCAATCAAATAATTTTTCCAAAAAAGAAAAAATGTACAGATTATAAAATAAAATTTTGTTGTTCAACATAATAAAAACTAATAATTTATTGGTTATTCTTATCTTTGATTTAATTTATGACTAATTATATATTTAATAAATTTATAATAAGAGATGGCGATAAAAAATAAATCGAGAAAAAAATATAGAAGTATAAGACAACAAAATAATATATACGAGAGATGATAGATAGAAGTAGATGATATTGATGAGATGTTGTTGATGGTAATGTAGACATATCTTCGTCCAATATTATGAATGATAGATGAAAGAAATGACCGTCTTTAACCTAACTACAGACAGTAACAACATCATTTTACCGCTGGTAAGAAATGAATTATTTCATTTAAAGTAAATTCATCAATATATATTATTTAGAATCATGTTTTAATAGATTACAATAGATCGTTACCTTTATATATCAATAGTAACGGTTCTTTTACATTTCATTATGCTGTATGGCCTTATATTTGTCTATTTACGATTGTTGCTGTAGTTTGGCTTTCGCTCTATCTTTCAACAATATATGCACGTCGACATCTTGCAAAACATGGACGATATCGATTATCTTCAATTTGTCAAACACAAGATAGTACTATGGGTGGTGAATATGAAACTTCACGAGTATTATCAACGATACAAGTCTAATATTGTTAAAACATTCTATAGTGATCTTATGTTTGAATTATAGCACAAATGAAGGAGAAAAGGACAGTTGACACTCGATGACAGCATATTAATAATTATAATATAAACAATTTCATGCGTATACACTAATGTCTTCTTTTTTTTCCATGATGATTTCTACATACTCTTCTTGCTCCTTGTATGATAATATTATAAAGAATATAAGCGCAAAATAAATATAGATACATAAATAATATATAATGATATTTTTATTGTAGATAAAAAATATGAAATATTTACTTTACCTGAGAAATGTTTTCATAGCAAAACGACTTGCATAGTGCACAAATGTATCTCCATCTTCGTTCAATACATGATTAGGATCAATATGACGTCGAATATCCGAACGTGAACGATAGACTTGTAAAACTTGCATTTCATCACCTCGTAATATAGATCGTTTTAGTGTTGATTTACTTGAACCCATACTTTTTATTAACAAAAATCAACTCAATGTAATTATTCAGAAGAATAAATAATGAACTACTCCAGTGACGTACTATAAGGATTTAGACATCAGGAAGAAAATAAAATATGATAAACAGAACACAAAATAAATACGAGGATTGGCTAAGTTGTTTTTCTAGTTTCCATAGAAGAGGTCGCCACTAGATATTTAGTGAATCATTCGTCAAATTCTTATCATGATTGTTTATTGTTTCATTTTTCAGAACAAATGTCAACAACATCACCACTCTTACTGCTCGATGATGAGCGTAAAGCTCAATTGGATTTATTAAACAAGATCGATGAATCTGGTAAGAATTTTTACATATGTTATATCATATTCATCAATCACAAGAAATCAAATACTATCATATATAAATTGAAATTTTGATCTATTTTAGCTGCTGTTGAAATTTGTAAAGCTGCTTTGGGTTATCTATCGACAGGATTAAATACAAAATTAATCACTACTGCAGCTAGTAAGTTATTTTATTTTTTGTATAACTAATAAATTTTTATTCAAATCTCTTTAGATAATCTTCAATTAGACGTTGAAACTGTTCGAACAACAATCGATAGTCTTTTATGGTTATATACAGAATGTGCTAAAACTAAAGTACATATATTTAATATCTCACTTATTATATTATTTTACTAACTCATATATTTTCATGACAAGAGATTAATCATTTAAAACTGAAAGTATAATTTCTTCTTATTTAGATTTTACCTGAGACACTCGATGAATCATTAAAATTACTTGGTTATAAGACACAAATTCGACAAGCTTTTATTGAATGTTATACATCACAAGCTAGTCAATTACAAACAATACTTGCTACTGATCTTGCTCTTTCATTACCTCATTATAAAAATTTAAATTGGCGATTTGATGTTCAAGTATGTTTCATTTAAACTAGCTGAATTATTTCTTATTCAATAATTTAGATTGCTACAAGAAGTATGCGTAGTAGAAAACAATTTGATCCATTTTTTATTCTTAAATTAACATTAATCAATGGTACTAATGGTAAAGAACAAGTTCATTTATTAGAAATTGATCCATTAACACTTGTACACATTGTTGAACAACTTGAATTGGCTATGAATGAATCAAGAAGTAATCATGCTCGACGAATTATGCAAACATTCCGATAATGATTAATTTATACTTTTATTAACCTGTGATAATTATGATAGTGCAATAGACTTTTTTTCTTTTTTTAATGTAATTTTTTAAGAACTGTAACATCCATTATATACAGATAGAAAATAAACATAGTTGATCATACAAAACAATTCTTTTATCTTGTTCATTAAAAGAGTATATAAGCAACATTGTTTATTTGATTATATACGTGTAGAAGTTTGCTGTAGGTAAAAAAAACACTTTAAGAACTATTAACACTCAATGTATATATTCATGTTCCACTTATTTATGCACTCAGGTTATGATAAATATTCATAAATAAGATTACGATCAAATTTTTTTCGTGATATAAAAAATTCAAAATGAAATTTAAGATTTTCCTTTGTTATTGAACTTTATTCTAAAAGAGGCGTTCTTTTTTCAAAAGACAAGTATTCATTTTCCGATGTAATTCTATTCTCAGTAAATCTTAATCGTTTATAAACAATCAATACAAATAATATATATTCGAAATTCTTCTCATATTATCCCTGATATGAGGAAAAGTCTCATCTTTCTATCTGCAATGCATACACGAAGTCCTTCTCATTTAAATACATATTCTTCAACAAAAAAACATAATTCATTACATTCAAACAAAAATATGAATACCACAACCACCACCACAGCATTAGCTAAAACATCGAATTTTAGTATTAAACCCCATTATATATTATTGGATATGTTTTTAATCAGTTCAATATTTCTTGGTTTTATTTTTTGCATTTCATTTATATGCATATCAGTTGGTTATCGATCTTGTCGATCAGTTTTAACATTACTTTCAGCAAATTCATGTATAGCTGGTCTTATTTTTAATGGTGTACAATTAATTAATGCATTATTATTATTTCGCGATGATATACATCTGTCAACATCAAATTATAGTCAATTTTGTGAAGTTCGTAATTATCTTATGCATGTTTCGGGTAGTCTTCTTTACTATTCATATTGTGTTCAATCAATATCACGGTTATTTTTTGTTGTCTTCTATAGACATAAATTTCTTTTAACTTATCATATACATTTTGTTCTTATTGCAATTCAATGGACACTTGGTTTAATATTACCAGTATCAATGCTTACATCTGGTCATAGACAATATCAAACAGATACAAGTCAATGTTTTATAACAATTAAAAATGTTTCACAAACATTATATGGTAAGAAAAAAAAGGGAAAAGAATTTATTAATATAAACTATTTTTTACTTAAGGTATGATTTCAATGTTTGTTTTACCAATGACAATTATTTCAATATGTTATACACATATTATTTGTTTCGTACGAGCTGCTGTTCGACGTGCTAGAAAAACAAATGCATTGCCAATACGAAAATTTAATCTTGTTCGTGATCAGGGTTAGAATTTCTCTTCTCTTCTAGTTTTATTATATTGAAAAAAAAATTATTTTTCTACTAAGGTGCAATTCATATTAAACATCGATTTTCAAGTACAAAAGATATCAAAGTATTTCGACATATAATTATATTAATTACTGTACTTTGTATTGGTATGAAAAAAAAAAATTTTTTTAAAAAAATCAAATATTCTTTTTCTTTTCTAAATATATAGGTGGTTTTCCTTATTCAATGTTAATGGTATTGAATACACAAAGTATTGCTCCATTTTCTATCTATCGTCTCTGTATAACAGTCTTCTCATTGAGTGTAACAGTTGACATGGGTGCAATATTTTTTTTCAACAAAAATGTTCGTACAATATTTTTCAATTGTTTTCAAGGACAATCAAATCGTATCGGTTCACTTAATCGTGGTTAAAATAGAAAAACAAAATAAACAAATATATATATATATATATATATAACTATATATATACACACACACAAACAAAAAAAAAACAAAAATAAACTGTTCATGATATCCATTGACACACATGTTCCCAACTTTCTTTGTCATGCATATAACCACCATGAGAAAGATTGGGTGCCCAATAATAATCAATGTTATTTTCGATTAAATAATCTTTTACTAAATGTACATTGACAATACAGTCTTGTCCAGATAATAATACATATGTAGGTAGACGTTTATTTGACTGTGAAGGTATTTGTTCAATAAATAAATTATTTTGTGTCCACCAAAAATGACGACTGATCACATAAGATATACCTAATTCACGGCAAACAAAATAGTACATATAGAGATGACCTAATTTGTATGGAATACGGTAAACAAAATTATAGATAACATAAGGTTCAAATAGTGCAAAACATATTGGATCAATAAAAATTAAACGTGATATAATTTGTGGGCGTTTTTGAACGATCCATGATAAACAAGCTGTACCATAACTATACAAAAGAAAAGAGAATTAGAAAAATTCTATTAAAACAAGAACTAACCTATGTCCAATAAAAATTGCTTTTTTTATTTTATAATAATCAAAAATTAAGTCAATTGATTCAATTGTTTCAGACATATTCGGAATATCTTTCAATGATGGGTAACGCATACAAATACATCGCATTGATATAAAAATAATACGATGAGATCGAGAAAATTGTTTATGCATACGTGAAATAAATGGTTGATACATTAAAAGACCAGCACCAATTCCATGAAAAAAAATTATTGGTTCCTTCTCATCTTCTACATTCATTGTATTATCATGATATGTCCAAAATGATAAATGACCTTTTTTAACATATTGATAACCTCGTAAACAAAAAATAATTCTTGCAAGAATATCACTCAATAATGTATCAGTAACAGCATAAAAAATAAATGGACGAAAAATAATACGAACAGGATCAAGAACATGTTTCATATAAGAAATTTTATCATTTATTTTATTTGGAGGAATTGTTAACTGATGATCAGTTTCAATTTTGTCAATAAGTGAATTGATTTCTTCATATTCAGTTTCATTTAATTCTTGAAATGTTTTTGAATAAAAAGCAAATGCTAACCAATCAATTATACTTTTACGATCAATATGTTCAAATGGACAATCTATAAACCATTTACTGAATGTATTTCGAAGATTTTTCATATTTGATAATACAGTAGCAACAATGTGATTACGTTCAGCTGGTGATATATAAGGTGTTGGAAGTTTACGCTGAATTATGGAATATAAATATGCTTGATAAATAAGAAAAATGACTTCAATCGATGACCATATAGTTAATAATGCACTTAAATATGGTGATGTTATTGGAATAATAGTAATATCCAAGAAAAGAATTTGTATTAACCAAATAATCGATAATGGTATGACTGATGATATAAAGGCAATGAGTAGAAACGAGCCTACAGCAAGAAAACGATTTGAACGATAGATTTCTAATAAACCACTGATTAGAGATCGTTGAACAAAAGGAATATCTTTTACCATGATGTAAACTGTTTATTGTATCTGACAAAAAAAAAGAAAGAAAAAGTTGTAATGCTTCACATATATATATATATATATCAATATTGGACTTTGATTTACAATGTACTACATGTAGACACGTGTTCTCTTCTGGTTCGTTATTTATATAAATCTATGGTAAGAAGTACATTCTTTATTAGTCATCGCCAAGGGTGAACAGTATAACAGATGATATGTAAGAAAGAAAAAGAAAAATAATAAGTATTCAAAGAACATTAGATACTACAAAATATTTTGAAATAGATAGAATATAATGGTTTAATAAAGATTTAAGAAGTACTATATTTATATCACTTTTATAAAATAATACTATCGACTGCTAATAATCCCATATTATAATATTCACTGTATGTCTGTGTCTGGTCTAGTAAAGCATGAGTATAAGCGGTTAAGAATAAGAATATAATAGTATAACAATGCAGAGATATGAAGGATTATAGTATATCGGGATACTGTTATAATATGCATCTACATATATAAAGTGACTTTTTGATTGTTTATTATCGAGTCAAGGTCAAAACAGAGATATGAAAATGTACTTGAAAGAAAAGCAGCCGTGCAGTATTCACGGGCTCTCGCTGGTTGAGTACATATTATTTAAGTCCTTTTCATTATATATTCTCTTTGTCATAAAACGTCTATTCTGATGAATAATATAGTTTTCATATTTAATTTTTCTCAGTATAAATCGAAAATAGAATCTATAATTATTTTTCTAATTACATCTTAATAAAATATTGTTCAATTATGATATGTAATAAAAGAAAAGAACTAAAGTGAGACAAACTATTCATGATATTCGAGAAAATTTAGAAGTATGATTGATTTCAATAGTATTAATCTATTCTATTAATATATTTCAAAATACAAAAAAAAAAAAAAACGAGAACAAATTCATTAGTCATTCATTTGCTTTATTCACACATATATGTATATATATATATATATCAGACAAATACATCTGTGACGATCACACAAGAATAATTCGAAACATTATCATCACTCATATGAAAATTTTCACTAATTTTCTATAGTCAATTAATACAATTTTTCTAAGTTAAAAAAAAAGAAGCGAGACAGACACACACATTCACAGAGTAGAAGTTCTAAACGCTAAGTCAATTATTGTTTTTTTCTTTGTTTTCACATACACACACACACACAATCAAATATTAGTACCAAAATGTACGAAATATCTGACTTATTATTGCACATATACAAGAGAAAAAAATCAACAGAAGAAAAATAATAACAAACAATAACATCGAAATAAGAGAGTAAACAAAAAAAAATGTCAAAAATACAATATTTGACTATATCATTGCTGTTTTTTTTATTATCTAACATTTGAAAACAAAAAGAGAGAGAATCATTTTCTGTATTCATCTAATATATAAAAAAAAAAGATTTAATAATCTTTCATCTCTCTTTCATTTGAAGATTTAACTTATTTTGGTAAACGTGTAAGTGCTATTTGAACATACGCACTTTTACAACAACTATGTTGTGCTATTGAAAACATATTACTTTGAGAGAATTTCTTTTGTACACTTTTTAATTTTGTTGTATCTTGTCCAATAAGTAATTGTCCTAATTGTTCGATACCTTGACGAAGTTGTTCATATGTATAACCAGTATGATATAACATAAATTTACTTGGCCATAAATGTTCAATTAATAATGGAATTGATGTTGAAGATGTAATACGTTTGTATGTAAGTAAATATCGTGAAAGAAATGAAGCACATGCTGATATATATGATGGAAGTATATGAGAACATGTATGATCAATAAATGTTAAATCAAGAAGATATTTTCCTAATGTATGTTCAAGATCAGTTGCTTGAATTATTTTTGAATAACGACGAAGATAATTTATTGATAATGGACGACCAAGATCATATGATAATGTTGATATAATACGTCGTTCCATTTCTTTCATATCTTCTTTTGAATATGCATTATCAGATACATAAACAAAATCATTCATACCAGGAATTGTCATTTCTTCATACTTACAAGCTAATAATAATGCTAAAAAAGAAAAGAAGAAATGATAACTATGCATAAATTGGAATACATTCAATTGATTGGTTATTTAGCAGACGATATTTTGGCCAGTGAAAGATTGATATTAGTTGTTTTCTTGCAGTCAAACTCACAATAGCCTATCACCTATTTGTAAAAATTCTGATTCAACTGCTATAGATTTAGGTCAACAGTGTTATGCCTATCAAAATATTTCATTTGATTCATACCAGCCGATCCAATAAGTTGTAATTCATGTTTTGATACATCCACTACTTGTAAATAACGATCAATAAAATTAATTGCCATATGAAATGTATCTGAAAGAAGTTTAAATCGATCATGTACTTGATAGAGCCAATCAATAAGTACAGCACGATTCTGAGGCGAAGCTGTACCTGAAAAATAAAAATTTTCATCAGATTAAAAATAATTTATTTTTCTCTACCTTCACGACGATTAAGTAAAAAATTTTGTCGTATAGGTGTATGATGTTCCAATTCTCTCCAATATTTACAAATATCAACAACAAATTCAGAAACAGTTGTTATATTATAGAGATCACCACTATCGCAATCAAATTCAGCTGGCGTTTCAGTTATATATTCGTCTTCATCATCATCATCCAAAATAATTTCTTCTATTTGATTATCCTCATCTGTTATTGTTATCGATGGTGGTGGCGCTGGTGGTAGTATATTAACAATTGATTTTGATTCAATTATTGTTGCTATTGAACTATGTTGTTGAATTATTTTCGGTTTCGAAATAATAGGTTTATTCGATAACGTCATGTTGCCAACTTCGCCAAGAATACCACGCATTGTTCCTTTATTACTATTGATATTCATTGATGATTGTTGTGCTTTAGATATATGTTTGAATATTAGATTTTTGATTGTAGAATTTTCATCATTTTCATTGTTTGATGATGAAGGTATATTATTTGAATTCGTAATTTTGGCATGATGCGACCGAAGAAAAGCTGAATGATGGCTCATAATAGTGGTGTTCAACTGTAGATGATTTTATTGATGAAATGAGTCTAGAAAATTGAGAAAAATGTACTTAATAAAAATAAACACACCCACACACACGAATTCTTAACGGACGATTGTGAATAGACTGATCGCGAGAAAAACGATGTAGGGAAAGACACACATATTTGAGAAGAAAGGATTGATAAAGAAGTGGAATTATTGGTTAAGAAAAATACAGACAGTAGCGACAATTACTTTTCTTTCTATAGACATCATGGACTATTGTTTAAGGACATAAATTCTTCAAATACGAAAAGGAAAATTATAATTATAAATCAAAACTAGATATTGTCAATTATTATTAATAAAAAAAAATATGATGATAACAATCATTCCAATTTAGTTTAAGAAAATCGAGTCATTTTTTCTATCATACTCCAAAGTGTTATCTAGTATTCATCTTGTGCAATTATGATATTTTCTATTTTTTTTTCTTGTATGAATATTCATTTGATGAAAATATGTTGGCGTATACGAATTTTATTACTTCATGATTTATCTTTATATATTTACTGATAACGTCGGTATGATTTTATCTTTCAAACACATGAAAGACTTTCTTTTTTCTGTCACATGTAAAAGAACATATGGGTTGTACAAATTCAACAAAAAACAAAGAAACGGAAGTTGCCGGACATAAACTTAATGGAAGTGGATTTAAAAATTTATGTCATGCATCATCTGAATTTGAAGTATCGGATTCAGAAAACGAAGATGAAATTCTTTCAACAAAGACAATCAATAATAATAATAAACCAAGTTTGACAAAGAAAGTTGATGAACTTTCTAGTGGATTGCCTACAACTACCAATAATTCAGCAACAGCAATGAGTAGTGCTTTACTAGACAATCGTCTTCAACAAACATGTGTTTAATATTCTGTTTTTATTTAGTCAAATATAGTTTATTTGATTTTAAGAAATAAATATATATTATTATTATTCATTGTCAATTTAATTCTGATGCAACTGTTACCCAAGTTAATATTTTAGTGACAATTATTATAGATAAAGATTTTCTCAGTATCTAATAAGAAACATGTTGAAGAGACATCTTTCAATATATTATTAGGTACTTTATCTTGTCAATGATGTACAAAAAAGAAGTTTCTTCGTCTTAGAATTTTCTATAATGACGTCAGTATCTTTTGGTTGACTTCTGTCATCATGTACCTATCATTTCTATAAATATATAGCAAAGAGAACGTTAGGAATAAAGTATCAAACTTTCGTTACTAATATGAATGGTAATATCATACTAAAACTATTTATCAATTTAGCTATCAGCTCAATCGTAATCGGTCATTTTGTTCAAGAAAACAATGTTGATGATTCGTTTATTTCTGTAGTTAAATTTGATACTGATGTAATATATTATTCTTATCATATTCATGTTTATTTTCTACAAAAAAATACTCTACAACGAAATGAAGCACTATTATTACGAAAACGATTTCTTTCGGAATTTAATGTTACTATTTGTCCTAATCATTGTGATACTTGGTGTCCTCAAATTTGCCACTGGGATTTCAATAGATCGCCTACTGGGTAGGATACTATTTATATCATCATAATTATATTTAATAGATAATTTAGACCACATCCTATTGGTTCATGGGGTGTTTACATACCACTTGAACAATTTATTCGAACTGTTTCATTTATTTCAATGTATCATGGTAATTTATCTGTTCTAATACATCCAAATTCTGGTCACCCGAAAATTGACCATCTTCTCAATGCATTTTGGATCAAATCTATCGTATCACTTAGAAGTAATTTATTGTTTTCAATTTCATATAACAAATAAATTTTTTTTCTATTCAAATAGAAAACCAATTGAGTGACAATGCACCACCTCCATCATCATCCTATCGAATTTTGAATTAAATATATTTTCATGTTCTTTTTTTTCTGTCTTCTTATTTGTATTGAAATAAAACAGAAACCTTCTTACAAATAATTGAATCTCTTGTATTTCAACGAACAAAATTCAGCAAAGAAAGACAATATGGTAACTTGCATTTTTGATATATAAAATAATAATTTCTATATATTATTTAGACTGAAACATTAAGTGAACAACAATTATTGGGTATATCATAATTATCTTTTTTTATTTGTTACAAAAGTTGTCTTCTTTTCTTAATATAAGATCTTCGTCAAGCGTTTTCATCGGTTGATTATGATAATGATGGATTGGTCTATACAAAAGATATTCGAAAGATTTTTACATATTTCGATGAAAGTCTTAAAACATTTATTATTGAAGAAGATGAATTAAAAAATTTAATTGATGGAATTGTTCTTGATAGTTAGTTTTTAGATTTCTTTCTTTTTGTAAATAATTAATATTAGTAAATTAGATCATGATCAAATAACATTTACTCAATTTTTAACACTTCTTTCATATAAATTCAATGTAAATGATACTATTGAAGAATTACAAGAAGCATTTCGTATGTTTGATCGTACAGATAGTGGTTTTATAACGTAATTATATTTTGAAAATTTTTATTTTGAAAAATCTTTTTTTTCATAGTATTGATGATCTCTGGCATGGAATGCAAAATCTCGGTGAAAATTTAACAAAACATGAAATTGAAGAAATGATGCAAGAAGCTGATCGAGACCAAGATGGAAAAATAAATTTTGCTGAATTTACTGAAATAATTCGATATAAATAAAGGAACTGACTATGTGCACTCGGATGCACCATCTTTCTAATCATTCTGAGGTATCAGCCATTGTTCTTCAATGCATAAAATCAAAAATCAAAAATAGGAAAATCAAGTTTTTAATAAAAAATAGATTGTGTTCAAGATGTTATTTGAGAAAGTTTTTCTATTTCAGCAAAATATTGTTCTTTGGTCATTATTTCACCGGTAAACGCTTTAAACAATTCCATGAATTTTGTCGCAATCAAATTTTCATCATAGTTTTGAGAGACCTAAAAAAAAGAGTATAATAAATGAGGAAGACTGTAAAAATAAAGTATAAATGACTGTCTCAATGTTTACATCTTTTTCAGCCATGGTTATTTGAATCTTATGTCGATAAAATCAGTAACTATTAAGACAAATCAAGCTCACTATAAAAAAATGACCGCTAAAGAGATGAATACACATTTATATAGGTCACGCAAATATGTTTATTATTTGACGATAATAAATATAGTTAAACAAAGTCAATAATGTATCGGACAACGCGAAGAGTCATTAAGATATACATTTTCTGACTAATAGTTTGTTTTTCTCTTTCTGCTTCCGGCTGCATAGGTGAGAAATTGATAAAAAAACAACAATAAACATTAACATTTTTTTTCTTCCCCGAACTATCTTTCGTTATATGCACGCCGATTTAAAAACAAATAGTCAAGAATATGCGTAAGGATGATCATTTTCTCATTAACAATTATTCAAGTTTTTCTCGTTCTTAAATATGTCGAAGCATCACTAGAAATATTTTCTATACATAAGTTTTCATCATTTTACACCGTAGTTTTTTGTCCAATGTGATTCTACATACGAATCAAAATTTTACTGCTATTCTACAACTTTTCACGATTATGAAAGTTGCTTGTGAAATTCATTTAAAAGATTTCTCTATCTTCTGTCTACAGTTGTTCATGATTATCTAGTAGACTACAACCTAGTCGATGACTATCTTACCATTTCGAGGTGGGTCTACTTTGTCAAATAATCGAACCAATGCCACTTTTACAAATTTTTTTTGACGCATTGACAGTTTTTGACGACAATAATATCGAGATGATTATACTACACGATGGTTTTATCTAACAAAAAGAGAGAAATGTATATCGAATGTTTACTGTCGCGTTTGATCATTTAATTTTCGTGTAGTTTTATTCTCTTTTTCGATTTTGCGGGACAATCTATAACAGACATCATGGAAGAAACCTTTCTCAATACAGAATTTCAGAGAATTTGGAACAGTAAACATTTCTGTCGCAAGAGATAATAGAACAATCTAATTGCGCCATTTTCGAAATTCATAAATGCCAATAAAAATTTTACTTATCTTCTCATTTATACAGAAAATACTTTGTTTGTTAGTGACATCTCTTGTGATAAAGATTCAACCGTTTAAAAATCTCTTTGTCAACTACTACGGGTGTAAGTCAATGACATAATCAGTAATGACGCTTCACCCGATCGGGTTACATCTCTATTTCTGCAACATTTTTATGGTTGCAAATGCAGTGAGAAATAGTACTACCACGTATTTTTCCATATCGAACAAGAAAGAAACTATTAGAACAAGTCTGATGGGTTTGTTCTTACCGTTTTTGTAAAGCTTTTTTACGGCACACTTTAAAAAAGATTCAAGATTTTGTCATTGATTTATGAAAGTTTCGTAGAGCTTTCGATGGGGCATCTTTTTAAACAAAAATACGCTTTTATCATTTGTCTATTGTCAAATATTATAGAATCGATCAAGTAAAATAAAGGAAGTGACTATGTACACTCGAGTACACATAGACACATTCATAAATAAACTATAGAATTTATTATAATAATTAAAAAAAAATATTTATGTTGACAAAATAATAACAACGTTCAATTTTCCCAATGCACAAAAATAAGCTGAATTATTAGTCAAAAATAAAAACGAAAAATACATAACTCGATTATAAATTATATTTTTTTTGTTACGATATATGAGAGAGAAAAATCTGACAAATTAGGTGAATTTATGCCTCTTTTTTTCTATTGTTCCATTTGTTGTTCACCTTCTTGTTGATAATGATCACCGGATGACATATAAGACATTATTTGTTGTGCAAAAACTGGATCATCATTAAACATTGAAGTAAAATTTTGTCCACTAGCCATCATTTGTTGTATACACATAAGACGTTCATTCATTAATTGTTGTTCATAAATATCCGGTATTGATAATGTTGATTGATCACGATCCATACTCATATTTTGTTGTTCGGATACATTCCATGCTCGATTAGGTATTTTATTAATATTTGAATCTTTTAATTGTTGCATACTTGTAGCACTTTTTAATATTGATGATGGTGGTGGAATAGATGATGCAGCAGAAATCATTGATGGCATATTCATTGTTGAAACAGAATATTGTGTTGATAAATTATAACCATTATGATGTTGTTGTTGATAAAAATCAGGATCATCAAGATAAATATTCGATTTTGAACGAGCAGCATAAGATGATGCCATTGATAAAATTGATCGAGAAGCAAAATGACTTAATGCATCATTACCAACATAAGTAAAACTAGATGATAATAAAATAAAAAATCAATAAAAATAATAATAAAATACAATACCGTTCAAATGCATCATCTGTAAGACCAAGACCATTTAAAGATTCAGTACTACCTAATAAAAATAGAGGGTAAACATTTCATTTTTTATAATAAGAAAAATATTACCTGGTGGTGTTACACAAACTGGTTCATTAGTAAATTCAGTATCAAAATAACGTGTATCTGTATCCGAATCAAGTTCTGGTTTAAAAGTTGGTTCAATCTAAAATAAAATCTTACATGTTTCTAATTAAATTTTTCGTTTAGAAAAAAAAACAACTTTTTTTTGTTCATAGAATTGAAATGGAATACCAGCAAAGAACGGATGTCGTTCAACTTCAACAACATCTTCAATACCAGAACCAATACTAAAATAAATGAAACATAAAATAATCTATATTTGCTAATGTTTTTTTTTAATTTACCGTTCAGTTGGTTCTTTTTTTAGAAAACGTTTTATTAAATCACTTGCTACTGGTGATAAAATAGCTGGATAATTTGGTTCATGTGTAAGAATTTTTTGAAAAAGACCATCTTGACTTCTACTATCAGCAAATGGTAATCGACCGACAAGACATTCATACATAACAACGCCAACGCCCCACCAATCTATAGCATTTGTATATGATGACATTCGAAGAATCTTATTAAAAAAAATTAATTTTATTTATAAAACTTCTTTTTCTCTATCATACCTCAGGTGCAATATATTGTGGTGTACCACAAAATGTAACTGTTGTTTGTCCAAATGGTACATTTGTTTTACATAAACCAAAATCAACTAATTTAATATGACCAAAACGATCGAGTAAAATATTTTCCAACTAATTTTTTTATAAAATAAATTTCATTTATATGATAATTAATCTTTATTAATGCTCTTACTTTAATATCACGATAAATAATTTTTCTTGAATGAAGATATCCAATAACACATGCTATTTCAGAAACATAAAATCTTGTACGTTCTTCTGAGAAACGTTTTTCACGATTTAAATGAAAGAAAAGTTCACCGCCATTAACACATTCCATAACAAGACAAAGACGATCACTTGTTGTAAATGCACAAATTAAATTCTAAATATAAAATTAATTATACAATCAATTTAAAGATAAGAAAATACCGTAATAAATGGATGACGAATACGTCGAAGAATTTTATTTTCATCCATTGTATGTACAATTTCATTCTAATGAGAAGTAAAATAATGAGAATATCATAAAAGATATCAAAATTAATTTTTTTTATACATTTGTAATAACCAAACTTTTTCGTAACATTTTCATTGCAAATATTCGTTGTGTTGTTCTTTCTCGACATAGAACAACTTTTCCAAATGTACCACGGCCAAGAATTTTTAAATATTCAAAATCATTTATTTGCTATTTGAATAAAAGAAGAAATAAAATTTTTTTATTTTTAAATTATTTCTTATACCGGTCTTCGTGTAAATATTTCGTTCATTAAAGGATATTCATTGTCTGTAATATCAACTTCATCATTTGTAACCATTTTAATATTACGTTTTAATGATACTTGTGGTTGTAATTGAGGAGATGTTTGTTGATTAATCAGGTCAATTGCAGTTATCCATTCTTCACTAAAATAATACTACGGTGAAAAAATTTCTTATTCTTGATTTTAATCATACCGATCTTGTTGATTGCTAGCAGCAAATAATCGATCGATTTTAACTTGATTAAAATGTATAACAAATGCATGTTGTTTTATTTTATCTTGACGTACAACACTACAATCAATTACTTGAAATTTATTAAGAGGTTCTTCTTCTTGTGCATCATTTATAGCGGGAGCTTTACGATAACCGTATAATTGACCATCATGACGAAGTATAAAATAACGTGGGCGCCAAGTTTTTATATGTTCACCTGAATAATAAATAGACGTAAGTTAGTCTGACTCGACATATTATTTGTTTTTCCAGATACAAATGTATTTATTCGTTCTCTTTTTTTTCGGTATGTAAACAAATAAAATTGAATTATTCTTCTACAACAATTGAATATTTATGATGAAGTACAAAAAGATCATATGTAAAACAATGTCTACTGTACTTAATGTGAAAATAACCTTGTTCATTGTAAAAAAAAATTCTATTTTTTTATTTATTAAATACTGAAAAATTCTTTTATAAACTATATTAATGAGTTTAGATAAATACAATGGTTATGCATAACCTATTGCTATTGCTATCATATAATATTATTTATTGTCAGGATTTACACTCGAATACGAAAAGTACAAGGTTATTTTGTGTTTATATAATATATAAAACTGACAGGTGTTTATTATTTACTCTCACGTGAGCCGCAATATCTTAGCGATGAAAATTATATAATTTTGATCATTACTATAGAGTTAAACTTAGACTAAATAAATTTTCTATTAATTTAATTTTTAAGAACAAAATTTTAATTATTAACATACCTCTTTTATAAAGCCAACCACATTTTAAAGCAGGAATATTGGTTACCGAATCCGTTGTACTACGTGGTTGACTTAAACTTTTTGTAAGAGGTTGCATGTTGTCGTTCTTTAATGTTTCGTATTGATGATCATACTATTTTATATATATATATCTTTTTTATCTATTAAAAAAATAAAATATTGTCATATCACTGCGTGGGATTTTCGTATTATAAATGTTCTAGTTAATAGACGTATTAATAACCAGTGAACCGAAACAATAATAATACAGAAGAAAAAAAAATAACCCATAAGAAAAAGGGCTTACGTGTATATGATTATATATTATTTGAAACAGAAACGAAAAAACAAAGCAGATTTTAAATATTTACAATCGTTGATGTTTTCTAATAAAGATACACAAAAATTCGTACTGTCATATATTAGAGTAGATTTCTATTTAAATAAAATAACTTTCTGATAGAGAAATAAACCTAATGATAATATATTAGTTTCATTAATACGATATTCATTTAAAAATTTGTTTATTAAATATTAAAAAATACGCTTTTTTACACTCTGTTCAAGTTCATTATGCAAATACAGTATGAAGAGTAGGTACTTCTCAGGAGGAAAAAAAACTTATTTTTCAATATTTTAATCTTTATAAAAAAGCATCAATGTTAATCTGACAGTTTCCTATGTTTAATTAAAAAATTAATTATGACATCAACAACATTCATACATGATTTATTTTGATACACTCCTAGAAAATAATCTGTTTCATATAGGTCATTTTTAATGAATGTTTCTAGTAAAAACAAAATATTATATATAATCCTATTTAAAATAAGTTTTAAATAACATGAAAATATAATAAATACTTAACATTATTTAATTTGACTAAGTGGTTAAACGATGGATTTAATATTAGTTTAACACTTTACAAAAACGTGTATATAGACTTATTTGAACGATGAGAACGTTTGTAAGCAGGAAATAAATAAATATTATATTTCTATAACAATAAAGAAAATATAATAAAATAAAAATGTTTCTCATTCTTTATAAAGTAATTTAGAAAGATGTCGTTTACTCATTATATATTATTAAAGACTACGACGACCTCAACACAAGGTGTGTCGATATTTTTTGACTCAGTCGTAAAAAGTACAATTCATTTTTGGATAGACAGTGACTATTTTGTTCTTTTTTATAACAAAAAAACAATTTTAGCTATAAATAGAAGAAGAAGAAGCCGAATAAATGTAATATTCTTTTAGTTACTATTCGTCTGCTCGAAGGTATGATTAACACTACGATCGAACATTAGCATAAAACCTACGTGAAAACTATTATATAATTTGATAATCACCAGTGACAGTGAAAATAGACTTTTAAGATATTATCTAAATTCTTAATACTTTAAAGAAATATTATGTGCATGTCAAAAAAAAAGTAATTTTTCAGAGTTGAAATATAATTTCTGTACTAGAAGCATCTTGTCTACTTTTACTAAACTTATATTAAGAAAATAGCTGAATAATACAGAATGACAGCTGGAATAAAATACACATGAATTATCTGATCTCCTCATTTATTGATTAAATAAAATATATGTGATAAAAATAATAATAACAAAAAAACCTAATGTGTTAGTCTCTTACAATTGATTAAATAGGTTCTAACATTCATTTAGAAAACTCAGACTAGCAGAAAATTATCTGATGTTATTTTCATATGACTATGAGTTGCACACGTCACAATTGTGAGAATTATTATTCTTATTATAATACTAGATAAATTTCTATTCGTTAATAAGAAAACTATGCTATGTTATCTATTGTTAACACTAACTAAATATACCAGATAAAATTACTAATGAAAAATATCCAGGAATACCAGATAATCCTTTGTGTTGTAATATTTCTATCTATCTCATAGATTTTGTATTAACATATTATGTTGTTGTATTGCATTTAATTGTTAATAGCCAAATAAATATACTAATATCATTAATAGTAATAATGATAAGAATTCATGTTTTGTTGGTGAATATAATCTATAGTAAAGAAAGAATTAAGTTCTGTTATTAAAGTTTTTATTGAGGAATTTTTGTTATCCTATACTGTTATTTACAATCAAAAAGATATAATGGAGTAGAATCTCGTAATCATCGTCATTAGTGTTACTAGTCGAATAACGTAAGGCTTCAGAATAATATTACGATATATTTTTTTTTCATTCTAGAATGAATCTACTTTATAATCATATGTGTCTACAAATAGAATGCACCGGATGCACTTTAATTACTTTCTTGTTTTTAATGTCCTACATAAATGAAGAAAAAAAAAAGAATTTCATAGAAAATCAAAGGTAATAATTAATAAAAGTATATGATAAATAAAAATCAGAACTTTTTAGACGTGTCATGTAGACTTTTTATCAAAACAAAACGAACTCTTAAGATCTAACTGATTAAATACATAATTTATTATTTTGAAGGGTATGTACTTTGATAAAAATAAAAAGACATAAAATTTATTATGAATATTATTTATTGATATTTTTTTTTTCGTTCTCTAATATATAAAACAAAGGAGACACAAAAAGAAAACACGAACACCGATTAAATTGAATAGATATTATTCATACACAATTAAGACAAAAGAAAAAGAAAAGAAGATAGCTTTTTTGTATATTAAAGATAAGTTTCAGCAGCTTTTGTTTTATTTTCATCTGTTCCCATAAATCGAACTGTTGTAAATGTTTCTTTTTTTTCTCCATGTCTCATACTTGATGTACGTGATTGAATTGAATCATCATCACTATTATAATTATGTATAATTGTTTGAACTTGTTGCATATTTGGTGATGATGCACGTTGTTGTAGTTGAATAGTATTAAAATATGTTTGAGTTGATGTTAAAGATTTTGGTTTATAATGACGTGCTGATGATGGAGATGGACTTGATGTTGCTGGTCCAATTGATGATGATATATTTGTTTTTGTAGTATCACTCAATAATGAATTCATTTCTTCATTTTCATGATCAGTACATAGCGATATATTTGTACTTGTTGAACGAATAAATTCAGTTGTTGGTGAATTTTCATCTAATACATCAAGTATTGATTTATGTCGATGACTAGTTGGTGGTGTTAATGTTGTTGGTGATGCATCACTCGGCGCCGGGACAAAAGCTAAATGTTCTATTGTATCATTCGGTAAATCATTCTCAATAATAGCTGAAATAAAAATTTTCTTTTTCTCATTATCTTTTCTATAAACTTTTGAAGAGTACCTGTTTCGGTTTGATGATGATGATGATGAGAACTTTTATGTGAACGCTGTCGACTTTTCATTGAACGTGTTGTTGTTGCTGTTCGTTTTTGTTTCACCATATCAATTGTTGGTGGTAATTCAATTTCAATACCAATTGTATCTTGTTTTGTATGTCGTTGTGTTTCAAATTCGTGTAAATAACTCATAGATTCCGTCATCTAAACATTATCATTTGATTAAATCACAAATTATTGATATAGAATAACTTACTAAAATAACATCAGCATACATTTCATATTCAGCTCGTTGTTTTAATAGATGCATACATTCAGCTGCTTCCTTACCTGTTGAATTAGCTCTAGAGAAGAAGATTTATTTTTAAGATTATATTCTTTTTTTTAATATTTACTTTAGATAGGATAATGTTCCTAAAATTTCTGACATTATTCGACTTGATATATGTATACGACGGCCAGTTCGTGGTAAAATAGGTCTATCTTTTTTCGTTGAAATATTCTCATCGAACGAAAAACCTTGGCCAAGTAATCTAAACATCAATAGATAAATAAAGGATTGTTTTATTTATGTATTACTTTTTTGTCATTTCAAAATAAGCTTGTCGAGACGATGTATCCATAGCTGATACATTCATACCATATTGAATAAGAAGAAACCAAAGAATTTGTTCTCTAAAAAAAAGAAAATATAACAGAATATTTAATTTTTTTTCTTTCTATATTATCAATCAATTAGTTAGAATAAAAGTTAGTTCATTTTCGGAAAAGATTTCACAAACACAAAGATAATCTACTAACAAATAATAGAAATTTTTGGCTCCTGTTTTCCATTTTAACCCATGACTAAATAATAAAAATACCAAAAAAAACAAATAAGTTCGAATAAAATATATGCATAATCTATACATATTTCCCTTGCCCAAATTTCTATTCTAAACAAACCCCTTCGGACTGTTCATTAGTTTTGTACTACTGGAAAATATCAGACAAACAATTGAAGAGATATTTATATATATACTAATTTAAATAAATACCTTGTAGTTGCATTGACTGAATCAAATGGAAGAAATGTTTGTAAACGGACAACTTCACATTTTTTTTCATGTTTCGATATTGCATGTTGAGTAAGTGGTGTAGGTGCATAATGATCCTAAATTAAATGAAACTTTTTATCCAACGAGTTTTTTTAATTGCTTTGATCTTTTTTCTCTGTAAATTTTGACATTATACAATTTCTTAGTTTTTTTTTATATTTTCATCAATTATAATTTATTTTGTTTTTCTTTTGATAGAATTATTTTTTAGTATTATATTAGAAATCATTTGATCAGTATGCATTTAGTCATAAAAGAAATTCATTTTATTTTTATTATTTGATTTTCATCTACTATTTAATTAAATACAAAATGTTTTTTTTTTCATATATGAAAATGATAGTTATACAAAGTTCCATATTGTTAATTGTCTTAAGATTTGCTGAAAATAAAATCTTAGTTTTATATCGCCGATATTTAATTTAGTCATCCCAGTCATTATCAACCGAAAGACTTACAGGATTCGGTATATGATAGATTGATGGTAAAGTCAAATTTGGAATACCTAAAATTATTTTAAATATTCTTTTATATACTTTTTTATTTCTTAAATAGACTTACGAAATTCATTTATTTTATCCGCATATCCATCGTCAAGAACACCCTAGAAAAATGATAGTTAAAATTTTGAAATATTTCTTATTGAAAAAATTTAGTTAGTAAAAAAGTTGATAGTGACATATGTTATCTATTCAGTAGTAGAGCTACTGATACAGATTAGTATATAACAACTGTTATCAATAGCTAACTACCGGTTAGACAAAGTCTTCGTTTTTTTCATACTAGACAAGTATATAATTTATAAACTTACTAGATTGTAGAGACCAACAAGGAAAGTATCAATTGTTGAACAAACATCCTACAAGCAAAGAGTACGACACATCGAATGATGAAGAAAAGAATAATGAAGTGACGTGCTCATTCTCGTCTTTTTATAATAACGATAATCAAGCGGTAAAAGAGAGAAGTAAAAAGAGAGAGAGGGAAAGGAAAAGGGAGAGAGAGAGAGAAAGACAGAGACAGAAAAGAAAGCCGCTCATCTCTACTATTGGAGTCTGATTATTCACGCTAGGATGCTGTCAGAAAAAAGGAGGAACAATGACGATGATGATGATGATGATGACGATGCTGTCGACTTCAGGCAAAGACGTATTATAAATTTAGTCTATATGTATGTGTTCATAATGATAATGAAAAATGAAATTAGCTTTGTTTAACCGTGTTACTATCTCTCACGTCTCTTTCATTTCCGTTTTTTTTTCTCATTTTTTCTTTATTCAAAAAAAAAAAAAAAGAGGAAAATTTTTTAATATATCATCATGGCACGATGAATTTTCGAGTTCTTCTTGTTGTAGCTTACTTTGTCTATTATTCTTATCACTGATTATGTCAATCTTTTTAATTTAATTTAAAGATCGGAAGTTCGATGTAAAATTCGCGCTTTAGGACAGACTTTTTTATTATATAGAAAGAAAGAGAAAAAAAAAAGGAATCATCTTTAAGACTTTGCCTGCCTACTCAAAAGATCTATGTCGTACACATGTATGCAGGCTTTATATATCTGACACATACTTTCTCCTCTTCCCTTCGTTCTCAATTTATGTAAAAGGCTTCCTGCTTTTTCTTCTACTATATATTGATAAGGAGGATGTATATATGTTACCCGATCATTAGACACACAGACAATCATAATAAGCGAGTATCACAGTATTCTATCTCATTTTACCTTAATAGTAATAGCATCATCTGACTCCGGATGATGATAAAGAACATCATAATATGCTATAACAAATGATGGAAGAAATTGTAGTACAAATGTTCGATGTTGTGCATCGCGATAAAGTGTGAAGAGATGATCACATAGCGATGATGCATACTATTTAGAATAATGTTATATCATATATATATATATAAACTCTATAATCATTGATACATACTTCCGAAGGTTCTGTAGTGATGGCCAAATGAATTTCACCATTAAGCTTTGGATTGTAGTTTGATGTTGATGATGATGCTTTCTCATCCTATTCAAGCAAAAAAAAAAGAATAAGAAGAATAAGACTCACATCTTTTTTCCCGTTTTTTTCTCCTCTTTCGACTTCCGATGCATTCTTTTTATTCAAACATAGACACATATGCACACCTAGATGATGATGATGATGATGATGATGCTGATGAGAAAAGAAAAAGAAGATGAAAGCTAGTCGTGCGAACAGATTTCTTTCTTCCACTTTTCTATTCTTTACATTACCATCACTTGTCAGAAATGTGTGCGCGAGAGCATAATTTTAGTCATTTTGCTTGATATGTCGTTCTCGTTTAAGTTTTAATCTTTTGACTGACGAGAGATAATCTTTTCTCTTTTCTTTAATGTCTAACATTTTTTCAATCTTCTTTTTTTTCCACTTTTTTTTGTTGCATAGTTTATAAATTATATTACTTCAGACATGAATAAATAAATAAATAAATGAAAGCAAGTGAAAAGATCATGAAGAATATATCTATATATATATGATTATTTTATAATTAATTCGAATTGTCCGTGCGAACATATAAATTCAAATGTGCAATCATATGAAACAATTATAATATTAAATTATTATGTCAGATGTATATGACTTGTCACCTGCAGTAATTTCTGATGTCTTTCAAAAAAAAATCTGTATTTAGACAAGAAAAAAAAGTGTATCAAATTAGATAAAAGACTTTCATTTTGTAGAAAAGATAATCGGAAAAAGAAGGAATAGAAGTAATAGGAGAAAAGATCAACTCTCAGTTTTGCCTTTATTAAAACTCGTTTTTTCATGATTAATTTACGAAGATGCATATTACAATGGAAAAGTGAGCTGAGAGAAGAAAAAAAGAAAGAAAGGATGTTGCTCTCTTGCGTTTCTTTGGTGATGTCTACAGCAAAAGCAGCAGCAGAAAATCGAGAAAGATTATAAATCACACACACACAAATACGTGTATATACATACACATACTTTTGATTGGTAGCACGCAATTCTATTCATGAGCAGTGGGGAAACGCGAGTACCTTACAATTTAGAAATATTATCCTCATTAGCACTGCATTTATTCTAAATGAGATGAAGAGAAATTAATGTCGACATGTTAAACTATCATCAAAGATGCAACACATTCATAGATTCATATATATATAGATGTGTGTGTGCGTACCTTGAATGACATAATCCAATTATCAACGTCTGTAAAATTATTCGAGAAAGATTCTCTTGAATAAAGACTGTCACTCGTTTGGCTTGCTATAGACATAGTTGATCTAAAAAATAATCATAAAATGAAAAGAAAAGAAATATCTTCATCTTTAAAATAGTTTAGTTATACCTTTTGCTGAAGTTTATATAATTAAAAAAATAACTGGAGATTATCGCTGCACATTTGAGATTCTTTATCTATCTAAAATAAATCATTTTATGATTGAAATTAAATAGTTATAGAAAATATTTTTCATCCTTTTTTGAGAATCTTCATCTTTCTTTTATGATTAAATTTATTTGTAAAAATAGACGATAATATATTTCTTTTTCATCAAACTAAAATATATAATAATACGGAGATCTAAATATAGAGATCTAAGATTATAGTTTGATAAGTAGATTCGAAAAAAAGAACAAGCAAAGCAAAATGAAGGCGTTGACAATATTCAATGATTGGTTTAGGAAATCACAAACGATTTATACTCTAAAGACCTCTTGAAGTATATTATTAAATTTCCTAGAGAGGTCGCAATTTTATGTATATAAGACTTAACGATTCTATACTATGTAATAATCAATAAAATACCATGACAAATATAATTATATATAATTTCTTTTAAATTATAAAAATAAGATTCCTTACGTATTTAAAAAGATAATTTAAATTTAATCAATAATGAGTTGCGAATAATCTTTAAAAGATATTTAAAATCTAAATAGTATTATCTGAAGAAAAATTAATTTAAATTTGACTTGTATGAATATATACTGAAGTCTTGTTGATTATAGGATCTCTAGTTTGAGATTATAGATATAATAATGTCAAATAAATTCAGCAGATAGACAAAAAAATCTTTATAACGTATTAAATATCTTTCTTATAAAAGATTTCCTATTCATCATAACTCAAATTTATATGAATGAGTAATTCTAATGAGAAATACCTGTTCATAAATTGAATATTCCGCATAGATCAACGAGTCAATACATAATATAAAGACTCGTAGTTGTAAGAACAGATATTTAAACTCTACATCCGTTTATTGTTTTTACTAGTATTTCAATAGATATAATTTAAAAATCAGTATGAAGAAAAACAGATCTTGTTTCTCTTGACATTAAAATCAAATATTTAAATCGTGAATAAAAATGGATAGAGTATTAAGTGCATCTATTTCTGACAGAGGAAGGAAATCGTCTGTAATTCATTTTCTCCTTGTTGTACACGTCATTTAAATATACGAATGATGCTTATACTTCAGTTAATCAAATAACAAAATTTCGTTTTCACATTCTCTCCGAGTAAGCATAGAGGTAAATACTGAATTTTAGGAACTATTACATTTTCTAACTGTTATTGTAGGTACACTAAAATATTCTTAATAAATCTATGTTTACATAAAAAAACGTTAAGATTATCGTTGTTAATTATATTAAAGTACATAATTTGAATTATATATAAATATGCTATATATTCGATAATATTCTTATTTTATATTTGAAATAGAATGAAGACTTATATGCATATTCATATTTTTATGAAGAAATTACTTTGCTTATTGTTGATTTAAGGAAAATTATGAATTATAAAATACTTTCAGGTCATTTAAGTATTTCATATATAAACCACAATCTTTCTGAATATTATAAAAATAAGTTTTCAAGTATTATTTGCATATTTATACGGACTAATATTTGATTAAAAATAGAAACGCTTATCAAACGGAATAGTTAACAATCGAATATTCTGTTATAATCGAATAAATAAATAAATACAAACAAATTAGTTATTGTCTACTGAATATCTATCGTCAATATAGCTATTATTATTATTAATCAACGATGCGCCAATATTGCACGAGAGTGCAATTATTTCCCCGAAAATAAATTTTAAAAAAGTAATATGACTTTACCGCTTGCCCTGACTGTCCCTATTAAGTTGATATTCAAACAAAAAAAGAACTATATTAAATTGAAGCAATATATTTTATTCACATAGACATATCAGGAAAGTAATATGCATATTTACTGACTATAAAAAAAGCAATATGAAGTTATTACTTTTCATAGAAACCTTACTATGCATCGCTTATAATTAGTAAAAATCAAAAATATATTGAATAAGAAAACGTGCTATTTTTGTATATAAATTTCATATAATAAAAATGTATGATTGTTTAATCGGTTGAATAATATAATAATAAAATAGGTGAACTATATTTCTATTTAATATAATTGTAAAACTATATATTATTAGCAACTACTTTGAAACAAATTCTAATGATATATGAAAACATATAATTTAACATAAAACGATAATTGACATTTTATTTTAAAAAGATTTAATGACTAAAATTTTTTTTTGTTTATTTGTTTAATAAGAAAAATAAAACTTACCATTTTTTTTTCTACACTCTTAAAAACAGTTGATTTACTATAAATAAAAAAAATATTATTGATAAGACAAATTATGAATTTTTTGTTTTTCAAAAAGTATTTTGTCAAGTAGTTTCATTCGTTGAAGATTTTTCATATAAGGCAATGTTATTCTTGGGTTTTTTTTCATTATCAATTCTTATTCGTCGTTTTGTTTTACTGTAACATTTTGAAAAAAAAAAACAAAATTTGTTGCATGAAAAAAAATAGTAAGCCAGAAAAACAAACGATTATCGTTCACCGGGCCAGCGATGACGCACACACAGACATCGCATAACACACTCATCATATACAGAGACAAATAGAATATAAAAAAAAAGAAAACGTTTTTGGTATCGATCAAATACAGAGGAGAAATAGAAGAAAAAGAATAATACACTCAACAATAAAAATCACAGTTAAGCTTCCGTATTTGTTATTCTTTAATTTTTTAAGTGACTGCACTCATCACGTCTAACTAAAAATAGATGTGTGCGTCTAGGTAGAAGTAACAAAAGAAGTATTTTTTTTTCTTTTTATTCTAAAGACATGAACTATATTTCGATGATCATAGACTATTTTCAGTAGCAGTTATATGTCCATTTGACATTTCAGTACCTTGATTTCTATCAGATAAATTATTTAAATGTATAGTTTCTTCTACATCAGTATTTGCTTCTGAACGATTTTTGCAGCATCTTATCCTGCTTGCTCTTTGTGTATTTGAACTTTCTCCGGTTGGTGTTGCAGGTGGTAGTGGTCCACAACTACTTGCACTTGTACGACGTTGATCAAAACAACCAAAACGTTTACTAAGAGTCTTTTTAAAAGCACTATCAAAATCTTTATTATGAAAAGCATATAAAAATCTGAAATAAGAAAATGAAATCTGAAAAATATTTTGTTTGCATTTATGTTTTTAACTTACGGATTAATCATTGAATTAAAATAACCAACCCAGAAAACAATATCTTCTATAATAGGCATATATTTCCAATTACAACGATTTGGTTCACATGCAGAATATCGAATAAAAAACGGAAGCCAACATATAAGAAACGCAACCATTATGGCACCTAAAGTTTTGACAGCACGACGTTCTCGTCTTATGGTCACCTTGTCACTATTGCGTGGATCAATTGATTGTCCAGGATTATCACCAGATGAGCTTGGTTCCATTTGTGTATCAATACTATCATGTTGTCCTCGACGACATTGTTTATTAATGTGACCATTAAGTGGTATTGGTGTCGCTGACAATTGATGAGTTCGTTGTGTTGATGGATGCATCTCAGTAAGTGTTGGTTCATCACTAGATCGTCCGCAAGTATATTGATACGGTGGTGGTTGAGATGCTCGACGACGAGCAACAGCATCTGCTTCTTGATATATTTGACGTTCTTTTTCATCAGCTATTCGCATTAACATAACATACATAATAATCATAACAGCACTTGGAACCCAAAATGAAAATGATGATGATACTATCGCGTATACTTGATTAACAGCAAATATACAACGACCATGAACACTATTTAAACAACTAATTTTATGGTGTTGTTCGGGTGTTGTATATATACCAGTAAATATCGGTATAAATGAAAGTATACCTGATCCAATCCAACAACCAGCTATCATAAGATGACGACGTCGTTCTGGTGATATCTTTTCCTTACGATTAAATGGATTTTTGATAAATGTATAACGATCTGATGCTATACAAGCTAAATGCATAATGGATGCGGTTGAAAAAAGAACATCACATGAAAACCATAAACGACACATAAACTAAAATAAAATTAATATTTATGTTTAAAAATTCAGGATAACATTGAGTGAAAAAAGTATCATCAGCATAGTGCATAAAATTTATTCATCATATAATAACCTATAGGTATCATAATTAGAATTGTCAGCGAGTATAACGATAAAATGTTTGAACTCGTTATTCAAATATATGAAACATCAGATGAATAAAATATAGACTTTATATATATATATTCTATTACAAATTTTGACAGATGTCATTTCGAGGTTAATATGTTCTCATTAGATCTCGAATTACTTCATGAGAAAATTCATGAAAATCAATTCAATTCATATTGTTGTAATTCGACTTCTTCTATATTTTCTAACACAGCAACGAAAAAGAAAATGTTTGTTTTGCTTAGTATCAATGCTTGAGGCATATATATCGAAAAGAGAATTAAATAGCTAAAAATAGAAACAGTCTTTCGGTTTCATGAAGAAAAGAAGAAAAAGTTGTTATTGACTTTTACTTTACGACAAAATATAAGAAGAACTGTTTAACTTAATTTGTTCATTTATATACTTAATGACTAATTTAGTCTTAGATTTTCATTTTTCTAATTCAACAAACAAACAAAATAAATAAATCTATAGTATAGTTAAATTGATAAACAATAATATCATTTAATTTACTTACCGCACCAAGAATCCATCTACCTCGAACTAATTGTAATCCATAGAATGTCATTGCTAATGTACTAACACCAACATCAGCAACAGCAAGTGAGGCAAGAAAAATATTGCCTGTATCTTTACGTAGTTTAGGAAATTTTTTAATAACATAGATAACAAGGATATTGCCAGATATAGCACATATTGTAATTGGAACAACAAGTGCACCCGCAAATATTCGATAAGGCAATGAAAAATAAGGCAATGTTACATCAATTTCTTCAGGTTTACATTCAGATGATTTATTTTTCGTTGAATTATCCGCCTGATCTAATGGTGACGTATTGTTAAATGATGAATAGACAGTTTTTACAATATCAGGAGCTGCATTAACACCGAGCACTTGATTATTGTAAACGATATGAAAAGAAATTAGAAAACAGGCGAATGTTAACAATCGACTGATGTTAATATGAACACCGAAAAGACAAATAATCATGTGAAGTAAGAACAAAAAGCACGAACGACAATGAACAAGATTACAGCGACGTAAATAAGGTCGCAGTTGTTAAATCAAAATTTGTTGTCTAAAAAAAGAAAAACAAAATATATCATTTAAATAAAAAAACAAAATTTATTTGATGACATATAAGCTCAAGATAATCTTCTGACGAAAAGAGGAATAGGTAAAAAAACGAAAGAGAAGAAAGAAAAAAACAAAGACAAATATCAATCGAATTTTATTATTTATTCTCATCTGGTTAAGAAATAATCATTATAAATGAAATGTAGTCTGAGCGTGTTTTAACTCTATAGTTTTTTTTTGCGTTACTGAATAAAGACGAATTGTATGGACTCGAGTAAATGGATTAAGTTATTTTTTCTTTCTTTTTCAAGACATAGAAAGTCACGTTAGCAATTATAACTCATATTTGTTGAAAACACGCTATCTAAACCAAAAATTTAAAAAAAAGAAAGAGAATCGAATAAAAAATGAGCTAACAAACGACCACGCAAAACAAAAAATATTAATTGTTCATACACATGCATCATCATACAAACAATATATTACATCGATCTTAATTTTCTTTTAGCGGAACTGTTTTTTTCTTTTTTTTTCTGCTTTTCTTCTGAGCAACCACACATAAACAATCTCATCGCCACATCATGTCACTATCGACGTCAATTTGCTTTAAAAACAAATACTCTTCTATCCATCATGCATAAAATGCACTTTCTCTTTTCTTTTTTACTTTTTTTTCTCGCTGTCTCTCTTTCTAAATTGCTACAATACATTCGGCAACCAAATATATATCTCTCTCTATATATACACCTGTAGAATGACATCGAAACACAGATTATAGCTGTATGACATTTTCTTAATAACAGCATCAAATAGTGCTATTTCACGCGCCAGAATCATTCTCATCACTGTCATTAATATACTTTAAACGAAGATGACATAGCTAGACAAGCGAATAGAGTAGTCACTTGAAAATTCATATATACAAACGAAAGAAGAAAAACTTCTAATCATATTAGTCAACATTAGTTTTATTTTTTCTATTATAAATTTCATTTAAATAGTTACTAAAATACTTATAAATAATTACTAGCAATCAATCAAAGTAAATAATATCATCATCAACAACAAACAAAATCAATCATACACTGACGCACGCACACACACACACACACATACAGCTATAGCATTTCAAGAAACGATTGCTACTAGTTTTCTGTCATATAGCCATTAATACTTGTTAAGTAAAAATATAGAAACGAGAAAGAAATAATCATATGAAATTGACAGTAGAATATAACTATGTTCTCTTTTTTTTTTGGTTGATATTAAAAAAAACACATGTTATTGAAAACATAAAATTTATTTTCAACATTATTGTTCTGATCAATAATAAAAAATATTTTCATAAGAAATATCTCGTTATTTAGAAGAAAAAAAACTAATAACACATCATCTAACTTACTTTATAAGATGTTAAGCGAAAGCATTCGGTCATTTAGTTTCAAGATTTTGTCAACGAACAACAAGGGTACTACATCGTCGACGATGACATTGCATAAAATTTGACAAAATGAAATGGTTAGTTACGAAAACAAAAACACTCTTTTTAAACTTCGAAAAGAATAGATTGAGAGAGAGAGAGAGAGGGAGAGAATTGTAAGGTGTAAGGCTAATAATAGACGCAAATAGAAGCAATGGCATGAAAAAACGCGTAAAAATATTGCGGATTAGTTTTCTTCTCTTTTCTCCGTCATTCTCACTCTCTTTTATTTCCAATCATACGAGTCTTTCACATTATTGTACTTTTCCTCTTTTGTAAACATCAATAATAAACAATAGAAATCCTAGTAGTATATCGATAGTAGTAGCAAAACAAGCGATAATCATCAATTGTATAAGTCTTCCCATCGCTTTATTAACGTCAATTCATCTAAAAACGCGACAGATCATCAAAAATGTCTAGATTTTCTTCTATCTCGACAAATTTTTTTTCTAGATAGAGAAATCGTCACATCTGTAGACAATCGAATATAATATCTCAGACGTACATCAAATAGGATTGATATAAGTTGTACTTGAGTGAATAAATAATTTACTCAAGAATGTCATAGTATGGAAAAAAAGGGGAAAAAAGAAGAAGAAGAAGAAAAAAATCATTCTATCTCAACTGACTTAATAACTTTGAAAATCACCATAATTTAAAGATTATTTTATATTACAATAATAAATATAAAATTAAACTAAGACAAATTAAAGATAAGAATATTTACTACCATTTTAACACTTGTCAATAAAAAGCCGTATATAATCATTTGTTTTCACCAACGTATTTTTTTTCTTTCGATTCTAATTATAAATATTAATACATTATAAGAATATTTACTGTTGTTGACGAGTCATCGGTCATGCTTACTATAGAGTTAAAACAAATTATTCTTAATGTTTTTCTTTCTATTTATATAAATAGTAAGAAAAAAAAGGTTTTTTTTTTATATCAAAAGAAATAAAAATTTATTTTTTAATTCACTATAAATATTGTGTGCTTCTTTTTACTCATTTCTACTATAAATATTAAGCTCATCTTCAACTATTAATAGAAAAAGATTATTTTAATTATATTATAAATATTCTAAGATAGTTAAAATATAAACTAAATTATTTTGACAATGAAATGTAGTACAAATATTCATAGATATGAAAGATTACAATCATATCTAGATATATATATATATAAAAATTAAGATAAAATAATTCTCAATTATTTAATATCAACGAATTTACTATAATATTATTAAAACTTAACAAATCATTAAGAATAGAATAAAGAATCTTGTCATAAGATATTTTTTAGTCTTTAACTTGTACGTTAATTTTTCTAGTTTATTCTCAATATAAAATGAATCTATATGAAATGTTTAATTCTATATAGATTATCAGAATTGATTGTGTATGTAAATGCTTGTTGATAGAGAAACAAAAGAGACATGCATATAGAAAACCTAATGAACAATCTCATTGTATATTTATCTGTCACTCACGCACTTGGCCTTTTCGATCAGACTAAAGATAATAACAAAAACGAGTTTCTTTTATGTTTTTCTTCTTGTGTAAGACAAACATTCGTTTTTTTTCTCTTCTCCTAGTAGTCGATTCAATTATAATTTTTGATATACACTGTCAACCAAGATGATAATTAAAAGAATGGTTGATAAACATGAATAACACAAGAAGACAATTGACGGTCTTTTCATGTCTGTTTCATAAGGGGACAGATACAAACATAAAGAACTTCTATCATAACAATTAACCTTTTTATAACAGAATACTAAACAAATCAGACCGATCTAGTTATTGACTCGTTCTGTCAGTTCTTACAAAGTAAAAATACAAAATACATAACTAGTATGTATATATATGATCATTATATGGAAAACAAAACAACTAAGAATAAAACAAAGTCATTCTACACTCACTATGAATGTTAATCCACATGACAGAGAGAACTATATATATGTTTATCTCATTTGTTCTTACTTCTCTTCTATTTTTTACTTGATGTCATAATTTATACACCATACGAAGTCGTCAATGAGATAATCAATCAATAGTTCTAATATAATTAAAAATAGGTCCATTATATCTAGATTCATGTCATCATCGATCTTAGATCGATTGTGTATATCTATATCGAAATTTGATCTTTTATGACAATTCGATAAGATAAAGAAATGAAGTGCTAGAAAAATAAACATCTTATGCTTTATATCTCGATATCTATTTGGTTTTCTATGTTCAAATGTATAGTTATATGTACGTCATGATATAAGTATATCTTACCATCAAAATCGTACTGGTGACAAAAAGATAGTGATGGCATTAGAATATCATCTACAAATATAGAGAGAAAAATCATCAAACGATGGGAATGAGATATCGATAGGATAAACATTGTTTGCTGTTTTTCTTCTTTTTTCTTCTTCTTCTTCTTCTTCTTTTTTTCTTTTAGTCATATGCATATATCTATATTTATATAACATAACGTCATCGTCTTCTCTGATCGATCCTTTGAGAATAGCAGAAAACGTCTTGTACCAAGATCTATTCATATATATATATATATATATATGTGACTCTAGACTATGAATATATTGATCTGTTATTGGCTACACAAATATGTGCATATACAGATGTACAAACGCCAAGAAGAAAAAGGCCGACTTATTGTACTGAAATAGAACTCTATTGAAAGTGGGTAACTGATCGACCAACCAATATAAACAGAATAAAAAAACATAACAAAAACAGTTAAACTAAGCAAGCCTTTGTGGCAACAGGCAAGATTTTAATCAGAAAAAAGGAAATCGACGGGCGGGAGATTGCACACACGTCTCTACATCAAGCAAAACGAGAAGAGAGAAAAACAACGAAAAGCCAATGTTGATTTTATGCTATAGCTTGGTGTGCACGAGCGGTGTTTTCACTAAATCAACATACCAACGCAAGCATACACACACACGATAGTTTTATGTTTTTACTATACCAGTAGCTTACAAAAGTTGATAGATAGTAAAAAAAGAATTAGTTTGTGTAGTGAAGAATAAGATCATGAAGGTGCGACAGAGCATGTTAGATCAAATTGCTTTAGTACATAGAAATAGGAGCATGCATCTTTGTTCAAATAGAAGTCAGCAGAAAAAGAAAACGAAGTTTAATAGTTATATTGACTAGATGAATGAATAAATGAATATAGATAAGACAAGCGATAATTCAATTAAAAAATAAGGCATGATCTCAATCTCAACAATGTGATGACAATCGTACCGCATCAGTGATTCTATTTCTTTTATACTAGTATTATTCCAGAAGAACAGAGACAGAGAGAGAAAGAAAAAGAAAAGAAAATAACAGACAGATCGCTCTCGTATTTGTCGACAAACAATCGATGACTGTTCAACAAAGCCCATAGCCATATCCTTGAAAAAACAAGAGTATTAGAATAAGATGATGAATTTTTATCTCTTGTCTCTTCTTCGTCTGCTTCTTCTCGTTAAAGATAACAATGTCGACAAACGTCATTGACGTGAGACTGATTACATTTTTTTCTCGATCATATTTCTTATTCAATTCATAATTCTTTTAATGATTACCTACCATATAGAAATCTAATAACAATAGTTTTATAGTATTATCAATGTTGTAGTTTCTCAGTAATCTTTCGGATTATTATTATATAAATTGATCAATCACAGAATAAAAATGTGTGAATAATAACAAAACCCACAAGAAATTATAAGGAAACGGGAGTATGTGTCTTTTTTTTCTTTGTTTGATAATGTTACTAGCATTGGTCGACGTCCTTCCTTTCTGTCTGTCTGTCTGTTTTCAACCATCGCTTTATAGATCCGATTACGTTAACAATCTGTTTTTTTTTCTCTATCATCTCTTTTTCCTTTACTTAAGATTTTATTCTCGACTGCGTATTTTCTACTAATTCCATTCATCATTTTGCTCTACAAACAAGCATATAGACATATGTTTACAAGTCGAAGTTCATATACACACACACACACTTCTGTAACTAAAGAAAACCGAGAAGAAATTCAGAGTAGAAGATTAGAATAGAAGACGGGAAATTGAATGAATGAATGAATATATAATATATGCTTGAAAAAGATTAAGCTCAACATTACTGTTACAACTGAGATGATGATGATGTATGCTATATGAATTTCGATATCTTATTTACTGACAATATATAAATAAAATTGACATATAACAAAACTTATAGAACACTTCAACTTTATCTTTACATAGAATAAATATAAACTGATATTTATAGAAATTGAAATAGATGAAATTTAAATAATATCATAGTGATTTTATTTTTGACTATCAAATAAATGATTCTATTTATATAAATAATATAATTGAATGAAGTATATACTTCAACATTCTTTTTTTTCAATAAATGAATATAAAAATAGTAATCCGTCTGTACTTTTATTGTATTAAAATAGAAGAAGAAAAAAACGAATTAATTTTATCTTTAAATTGAAGATGTTTATCACCATTAAAGTAATCTGTATTATTAAAGACAATAATAATATGATAAAAATCAATTATTATTACTTTAAATTTTCTCAATGACTATTAAAAGAAGTTTAGCAGTCATTTTAGCACTTACCTTGCTTTTTTTTCTTCTACTTTTTTGTCTATCGTTTAACAATAGTTAGTTTGCATAAAATATCCGTTTCATTTCGTCTAACCTATCAGCATTCAGTCAACAAGTTAAAATAACAATGAAATAGCAATGAGGATTGATTCGCATGATTTTATTCGTAAGGACAACAAACACAAAAATCCTATTTATGGTATTTGTATACGACAAGAGACAGAGAGAGAGCAAGAGAGAGAAAAAAACGGTTCTTTCTCGTCAACTCTCAAGTTAATAATCCACCATGTAGATTTTGTTTCTCTTTCGCTTATATAATAATACATTATTTGACAATGTCATAAACCACATATATAATGATTCATACAATTATTGATATATTACTTTTGAAGAAAAAAAATTTAAATTAAAAAAATCTGTAAATCATTATAATTATTGATTGTATTGATTTAAAAAACTAAAATATCGGGTAAAGAAAAATATTTATTTTTAATTTAGATAATCATATGTTACAGTAAAATAATGAATAGAATAACTTATTGATCTATTAATAGAAAAGTCATTTTTTTTGTAATATGTGCTATTTTAAACATAGATATATATATAAATAGCGAGACAGTTTTTTTCATTCAAATGAGTTCTTAGAAATTATAGAGAATAATAGACGAGTATAAATTTTTATGCTATTCATTGTTGAGATCGATTACTACCATCATAAAACTTCTTTTTTTTTGAAAAAAAGTCAATGAGAATTGTTTTAGATATAAAATACTTGAAAAAAAACGAGTATAAATCTTTTTTTTATACTTTTGATATTTTTGTAATAAAAAGTTTATAGATGAAAGATTATTTATAGTTAATAAAATTATACAATATTGAGTATAAGTATTATATTTTTATAAGATAGAATTATGTGTTTTAATAATGATAATTCTTTTTTGTCTCCGCTTTGGGATTTTATTAAGAATGCATTCATTGAAAATAGCATAAATTAGAACTTCTATAATAAATAGATAACTTCACATGCACCAACAATGTTTAAAATGATTAGTGTTGACTATTCAATAAGAAGGTTTCTATTGTTTTTGCAAAAGATAATTGTTAGACATTATTCTCTATAGAAATCATTTGAGTTTTTTTTATATATATAGTAATGACATTTTATATAAAAGAATTAACAACAATCGATGTGGTTAGATAATATAGGACATTCATCTTAAAGAAGAAGACGAAAAAAGAGAATAAATTATACATATTTTCTAGATTATCTTCTCATAAAGAATGCCTAATTCAACAATTACAAAAGTCTATACTTCAAGATTATAATACTACAAATGTATACTTATATTATAGTTAAAAGTCAAATGTTAATATTAATAAATTAATTAAAATTTACATTTTCAATAGACAATATTAAATATAATCAATGTCATGACATTTTTATTTCCAATTCTAAACATCTATTTTACTTCCTCCCTCTCTTTTTGCATTACATTATTCATTAATGTATCTATTCAAATGACTTTCTTTTTTTATGTCTTAGAAAAATGTCAAATTACTAGACTGTGATATGTCTGATATCTAAACTTAATGAACAATGAAATATTTTTTCTACAAGCATTAATATATTTTGAAGAAAACAACTCATTCATCAATTCTCTCGATACAAAATAAATAATCAAAAATACGAATATATTGATTGTTTTATCATGAGACTACGATTTATCATTTATTCTGTTAAGAATATCAATAAATGATTATTTTAAAATATTCTAGATTATATCGTAATTAGTCAAAGAACTTTTCAACATGATTAATATTCAGTGTTTTATCCAGGTTTCTTTTTTCGGATGTGCGAATTGAACTGTTGGGTGAGCGCCGCCTAACAGTGCTTTGTCTAAGTCTTATATGTTGGATGGGTGCCGACTAACAGTGCTTTGTTTAAGTCTTATATTTTGGATGGGCGCCGCTTAACAGTGCTTTGTCTAAGTCTTATATGCTGGATGGGCGCCATCCACTCAGCCCACCCACTACGTAAAACACTGTTAATATTATGAGTGAATTCCGTTCTTTATTATAAAAAGTAGAAATACAATAAATATAACAAAATTACATTGATTTAAAACCATAAATGTTTAAGTACTCCACCGAAAACATTTTCTTTCAAATACATTTTCATTCGATTATTGAATACTTCATTCCAAAGATCGATTGAATTGATATCTTTTTCTAATTTTAATTTCAAATAAATGAGTGAAGGAAATTTTTCAGTAATTTCTTTTAAATTTCTTAAGAAATATTCATCATCCATACGTTGATTACTTATATGCATGTATAGATAATATAAATTAGGAAATTGATTTAAAAATAATTGAACTTTATCCATACAATTTGAAGGTATATCAATTAAAGATAATTCAATTATTCGATTATACCGATGAATACTATTTGAAAAAGAAAATAGAATGAAATTTTTTAAAAAGAAAAATTTATTATTTACTTGGACAATCTATTTTGATCATCGATAGTTAAATACGATAGAAATAATGTATTTATCAAAGGAAACAATTGAAGTACATTAGATAAATTAATATTTCGAATTTTTTCGATTTGTAATGTATGTAATGATGGAATATTGAATGGTTTAATTATAGAAAGATTTATATCAATATGAATAAGAGTTAATTGTCGAAGATTTAAACATTGATTTAATATAAAATCAAATATCGATAAATTAAATTTATAATTTTTCGTATTTGTTTGATCAATTAATAAATGTGATATATAATTAATAGGAAAATGATTTACTATTTCAAGATTATCAATTGATATATCGAATAATTCTTCATTTTTACATGGATTTGAATAGAATATAATATTATCATTACGTGAATATTTAAAATAAGAAAACTGCCATTTTTTTGTAAGAAAATATTTTGTTTGAAATAAATTCATATTAAAATTTTCTTGTTCAAGTTTCAATGAATCAGTTATTCGAATAAATAAATCAAATTGAATTAATGATGAATAAGATGATAATAAATTTTCCCATCGTTTACCATCAAGTAATTGTGTTACTAATTCATTATTTCGACTTATAGCATTTCGTAATATAAAATTAAAATTATATGTTGTTTCATTATTCATAATTCTATATAATACTTGTTCAAGATGTTCAAATTGAAATGTTAATATTGAATCAATCGATAAATGAAATTTTTTCAGATGAATTAAATATGATGTTCGATTATGATCTTCACACATTTTCTTAATCATTTTTACTAAAGTTTGATCACCACTTGTCCACCACCCGATACGTATTGAAAGATTTCGTAAATTTGGTGTAGATTGTATAAGAATAAGTAAATCTGTAACAAGTGTAACATTTAATGTTATATCCATTAATGAAGGAAACATAATGGAATCTGGTAAACGAGATAGAACAAGTCCATTAGGTATTTCAATTGAAAGTTTAATTAGAGTTGCTATTGGAAGAATAGTATTAGTAAGAAATTTTGTCCATGTTGGAAAATCTGGATCATTTACATAATCAATTTTAATTGTAAGTGTTATTAATTCAGATAAAGATAAAAGAAATTTATTAACAAAATTAATAAATTCATTTAAACGTGGTGATTCAATAATAACTTGATCAATATTATTAAAATACGATCGACAATTTTTATCATCTATTAAACTATTAAATAATTCTATTTGACCTGGAGTTCGTTGATTTCCTAATTTTAAAACATATAATAATTCATCTTGATTTATTATAGGTAAAATATTTTTCATATAATATAGAAATTGATCATAGGATAAATATGTTAAATCAATTTGTTGTTTAAATGATATTAATAAACAATTAAAACGTTTATTGAGATTAATAAAAGAATAAATTGCATCAAATGAACTTAAATATTCGAATATATTACAAAGAATTTCATCGGGTAAATTTGATAGATTCGTCATATTTATTTCAAATAGATAAAAAACTTCAGTTTTATTATATCAACTTATGATTCAGTCGATATGAAAAAGGATTGGTTCCACACAGATGTCGTTAATAATCGATTACTTTTCGCTTTTTCTAATAAAAACTATTTTGCTTACGAAATATTTTTTGAATTTTTATTTTTGATAATTTAAAAAAAAAGATTCACTCCGATATTTTACAAAAATTGATATTGATGATATACGATTAGTTCATTGATTTTAGTACGTACGAAATGAATATAACCGTTAACTAAATTAAATTAAATTCAAAAACAATTCATCACGATGCAAAAATTAACGACTGGTGCTTTAATGGTATATTGACTTATAATAATTCTTTTGATAAAGTTTTTATTTCTTGTAGCGTTTTGCCAAAAATAATGCTTGTGGTGAACAACCTATTTTACAAGTGCTGGTAATAGATGATTTTTTTATTTTGAATGAATATTATAATTTAATTTTAGAATATTAAATTAATGGATTCAAAGCCAGTCAATGAATCTTCAATGGTGACATCTAGTCAAAATAAGAAAATTCAACGTTATCGACTTATTCTATCCGATGGCAAATATTTTTTACCTTGTAAATATTTTTCAGAAAAATAAATTGAGATTTATTTTCAAAGTATTTTAGCTTGTGTTTTAACTGTACAATTGAATGAATTAGTACTAAATGGTCAATTACAAGAATATTCTATTATTCGACTTGATCGTTATTTACGTAGTGATCTTAAAGGACAAACAGCAAAGTATTTCAAACATAAATTTAGTACTAAAACAAAAGAGAGAATTGTTTTTATTCAAATAGAATGATTCTACAAATCCTTCAATTAACAGTTTTGGATATTACTACACATAAAATTGGAAATCCTGTTTCACTATTAACAGCTGATTTAAATGAAAATGATAATGGAACTGTAACAACTACTAAAGATGTTTTACAACCAAAAGTTATTGGTAATTATTAATAGCACATATTCAATAAAACTGAGATGTACTATTCAAATTTAGTCTTTTTTAATCGCGATATATTTCCCATTTTCGAAGTAGACGTGTGATAACAATTTTAAGTTCTTCAATATGAATCGAGTTCATTCTAACCCTTTTTATAGAAATCTAAGATGATATTTCGTCTCTTTTTGTTTTTCTTAGGTTCAGTTCTGAAACGTCCAATAGTTGCAATAACAAATGAACAACCTTTACTTCCTCCTCTACAATCTACAATAACAATAACAAAAATGGATATTGATTCTATCAAAACTAATCGTTTATTTAAAATTGAAACACTTAATCCTTTTCAGAACAGGTCAAAAAAACATTATTTTCATTATGATTATGTTTTTTTTTGATAGATGGACAATTCAAGTTCGTGTTGCCTATAAAAAACCAGTTCGTGCATTTTCAAATGGTGAAGGACGATTATTTAGTTGTGATTTAATTGATGAAACAGGTGAAATACGTGCAACTGGTTTTGGTGATGAATGTGATAGATTTGAACCAATGCTTATCGTTGGCAATGTATTGATATTATTTAGAAAATTTCAGTTAAATAATGTTTTCTTAAATTATTTAGATTTATTACATAACACAAGCACAAATAAAATATGCTAATAAACAATTTAATACACTTAATAATGATTTTGAAATGACATTTAATAATGAAACAATCATCGAAACATGTATAGATAATATTTCAAGTATTCCAGTACAACATTTACATTTTATTTCAATTGATCAAATACAAAATATGGAAAATAACTCATTTATTGGTTTGTTAAATAATACGATGATTGCTGTTTTCTTTTACATTGTTGAAATTTTGATTTTCAGATGTTATTGGTATAGTAATGAATATCAACGATATTGTTCATGGTAAAAGTAAACAAAACAAAGATTATACAAAACGTGATATTCTTATCCTTGATCAAACTGGTCAAATTATAGTTACACTATGGTATCAAATGGTATATAAAAATAAAAGGAAAATGATAGTTCAATTGAAAATATCTATTCTAGGCTGAAAATTTTCCAATGTCATCTATTCGAACTATAATTATGTTAAAAGGTGTCTGTGTAAATGATTTCAATGGAGGTATTGATAGATAATATCAAGAACAAAATAGAAATTTTTTTCTTATTTGAAGGTCGAACATTATCTGTTCTTGGTAGTACACAATTAACAATTGATCCAGATTTACCATTAGCTCATGATCTTCGTCGATGGTATCTTGAAGAAGGAATGAATATTGAAATGACAGATCTTACAGCTCAATCAACTAATCAAGAAACTAGTAAATTTTCTATTAATAATTTTTACGACTATTATAAAAATATGAAAAAAGCTACTTGGTAGTATTTACACACTCAATAGTTAAGAGCGACAGATCTTATAAAGTTCATCTAGATGTATAGATTTGTATTTGAGTAAATCATGAGAGAAAAGACAACAAAATATAACTGTATACTGATTTAATTAGTTCCATGGAAAACATTAGCTCAAGTAACTGAATATGGAACAAATGTCTCATCAACTGGTAATGGTGAACTCTGTCGAGTTAAAGGTGTATGTGTACATGTACGACATGATCCTGTTTATAAAGTAAAATAATAAATGAATGATTTATATTTAGAGAAGAATAAAATATATTTATATTTTAGGCTTGTACTCGTATTGATTGTAAAAAGAAATTACAAGAAAATAATGATGGAACATATTATTGTTCAAAATGTGATTTACATTATGAAGATTATAAATTACTTTATATGGCAAGTGTATGTTTGTATTTAATTTGAAAGATATTTTTTCAAAATATAAAATTTTTTCTTAGATTCTTTTATCGGATTCAACTGGTTATCAATGGGTTAATTTTTTTGAAAAAGAAAGTGAAATTTTATTTGGTTTTCCAGCTGAACAATTTCCAATTGGAAAAACAAAAGATGATGAAGATAAAGCTTATCAAAAATTAATAAGTATATGTGGAGAAGAAAAATTATTTCTTATTCGAGTTAAATCAACTCGTTATAATGTAAGTTTAAATTACAAAAAAAGAAGAAGAAATTAATATATATATTTAGAATTTAGAATCATGATCGACTTCAATTTACATGTGTAGGCGTTGAATCTGTTGATGCTCATCTTATGTGTCGTTTATATCTCGAAGATATTGGTAGAATGTGTCGTCTTTCATCGAATTAGATATTTTTTTGTTGAATAAATATTATTTCTTTATTAGATAGATATTTATGCCTATTTTGTTTCTTTTGTAATAATAGCAGTAACAACAACAACTGTGTAGCTCATTAATGAAATTTGATATTGAATAAAAATTATCTTTTGTTCTTAATAACATATTGTATTTATATTTTCTTTCATCTAAACTATGCATACATTCTTCAGTAATTGTGTTTCATATGAATTCTAAAAATAAAATATATAATCATCGTACTGAGATTTTCCATAATTCAAACATTTGATATTACTCTAACCTAGGTCATTTTTTTGTTATTTCGTGATTTTTGGAATCGTTTAGTATCTCTTATGAATCAACATATATATATTGTTGAATATAAAAAGAAATTTTTGTTTGTTTTTATTATCATTACAAGTTTTTCGTATGTGACAAACATATAAGAAGAAAAGTAAATGAGTTCATCTAGTGCTCTTTTATTTACTTTCTCACTAGTAAATTGAATAAAACGTTTTACAGTACTATAATAACAATTGGATGGAAGTGGAACATCAGAAGATGATGATGATTTGGTCTTGTACCTCCTATCCTTCAATTATGTAACGTACTCGAAATACTGCTTCGAATAAAATATCAGAAGAAATAATAAGAATGGAATTAAAAACTTCTATTATTTGCTTATTTTTTACCAAAATTAAGGAGATTGTGGGCATTACGGATCAATTATCTCATAAATATACGGTAAAAGAACAGTTTTTTCTTCAGGTACAAAAAAGTGCAAAACGATGATCCCTTTGTGGTTTTTATGAGATATTAAACATTGCAACTATAAATATTCTATCGTGTGAAAAGCAAGAAATCCTTCGGGAAATCAAAATAAAAGATATCAACGTCGAGTATGAAGATTAAGCTTAACATATTATATCTTTTAGATTCTCGACCAAAACCCTCGAAATTTCTAAATAGAGATATTTAATATATGACACTTCTAGGAGCAAAAAAAACTCAACTAAATGGTCTAAATAGAAGAAAATATTAAATTAATAATTTTTTTATCAGAACGAGTATGGAGATAGTTAGTCGTACTATGTCTCTGATACGAAAAATTTCTATATGAAAACATATGTTGTCAATATAGTACTTAGAAAACTGCTGATATTATTAGGGTCAAATTTAATAAATGATTATATATAAGTACTTTCACTGTAGGGCAAAGTTTTCAAGTTCCATACTTAATATCTATTTGATTATTATTGTAGTTGATTACGATAGCGAGGATTTTCATCCTTATAATCATAGTCAACTGTCACGAATAGCTATAATCATTGTATGACTATCTATCTCATCACGATTGACGAGAGGTATAAATAAGCATTAAACTTCAACATCTCGTGTTACTGATGAATTAAAAAGAAATTTTTTTGTTGTTAGGTTACTAAAATATAAAATATTTTGAATTAACATCGACCTATATATTTCTTGTTGTGTTTCATTTAATATTAATCTTTCAAATACATTGTATACAAACGATGGAAGTGAAGAAGATTTAATGTAATTATTGTTTTTTTGTTGTTGCATACTTTTTAATGTTTGATAAGAAACAATTTCTTTCTTACTTCATTTTAAAATCTATATAATGGTCTGAGCGCGAACGCAGAGACGCTGCTAACAAATTGACCTCTCTCTTCGCCCCGATGTGGAGCGAAAGCAGGATTTAGTTTATAGCGTAGTGCAATGCCAAAACCTCGTCCTGGATGTTCAGTATTAATGATCACTGAGACGATCAGAGGAAAGTAAGTATGAGTTTGTTTTTTTCTTTTCATTCCATTTATATACGTTGTTAAATGGCGAAACACGGCGATGAATGAATAGAAGGCATATATATAAGAAAGAACAAATTTTATGATGACTCATCGATTTGCAGTCAGAATGAATCATATGATTCAATACAACATAGAGAGAAAAATTTTCATTTCTAATATAAATACTTGAGAAAAAAAAATGTTTGAAGATGTATTCTTCTTATTCATATGAAAAGAATGTTATTTCTATTTTCGTCCTATATTAAATAAAAGATAAACGTATTGTCTTAGTTGAAGATTGAATAATATGCATTAAAAAAAAAAACGTTTTATAAAACGAAAGAATTTGATTCATTGAATAAAAAAATACTAGTTAATTATTAAA